GGATGTATGTGTTCAGGAATTTATCAATTTCTTCTAGATTTTCTAGTTTATTTGCATAGAGGTGTTTATAGTATTCTCTGATGGTAGTTTGTGGGATTTCCGTGGGATCAGTGGTGATATCTCCTTTATCATTTTTATTGTGTCTATTTGATTCTTCTCTCTTTCCTTCTTTATTAGTCTGGCTTGTGGTCTATCTATTTTGTTAATCTCTTCAAAAACCAGCTCCTGGATTCATTGATTTTTTGAAGGGTTTTTCGTGTCTCTGTCTCCTTTAGTTCTGCTCTGATCTTAGTTATTTCTTGTTTTCTGCTAGTTTTTGAATTTGTTTGCTGTTGCTTCTCTAGTTATTTTTTAATCATGATGTTAGGGTGTCGATTTTAGATCTTTCCTCCTTTCTCCTGTGGGCATTCAGTGCTATAAATTTCCCTCTAAACACTGCTTTAGCTGTGTCCCAGAGATTCTGGTATGTTGTGTCTTTGTTCTAATTGGTTTCAAAGAACTTATTACTTCTGCCCTAATTTCATTATTTACCCAGGAGTCATTCAGGAGCAGGTTGTTCAGTTTTCATGTAGTTTTGTGGCTTTGAGTGAGTTTCTTAATCGTGAGCTCTAATTTGATTGCACTGTGGTCTGAGAGACTGTTATGATTTCTGTTCTATTGCATTTGCTGAGGAGTGTTTTACTTCCAAGCATGTGGTCAATTTTAGAATAAGTGTGATGAGGCGCTGAGAAGAATGTATATACTGCTGATTTGGGGTGGAGAGCTCTGTAGATGTCTATCAGGTCCGCTTGGTCCAGAGCTGAGTTCAAGTCCTGAATATCTTTGTTAATTTTCTGTCTCATTCATCTGTGTAATGTTGACAGTGAGGTGTTAAAGTCTCCCCAGTTTATTGTGTGGGAATCTAAGTCTCTTACTATTATGATTGAGTGGGAGTCCAAGTCTCTTTGTAGGTCTCTAAGAACTTGCTTTATGAATCTTGGCGCTTCTATATTGGGTGCATATATATTTAGGATACCTAACTCTTCTTGTTGCATTGATCCCTTTTACCATTATGTAATGCCCTTCTTTGTCTTTTTTGATCTTTGTTGGTTTAAGATATGCTTTATCAGAGACTAGGATTGCAACGTCTGCTTTTTTTTTTGCTTTCCATTTGCTTGGTAAATATTCCTCCATCCCTTTATTTTGAGTGTATGTGTGTCTATGCATGTAGATGGGTCTCCTGAATACAGCACACCAATGGGTCTTGACTCTTTATCCAATTTGCCAGTCTGTGTCTTTCAATTGGGGCATTTAGCTCATTCATATTTAAGGTTAATATTGTTATATGTGAATCTGATCCTGTCATTATGATGCTAGCTGGTTATTCTGCCAGCTATTAGCTGAGCAGTTTCTTTATAGTGTCGATGGACTTTACAATTTGATATGCTCTTGCAGAGGCTGGTACTGGTTTTTCCTTTCCATGCTTCAGGAGCTCTTATAAGGCAGGCCTAGTGGTGACAAAACCTCTCAGCATTTGCTTGTCTGGAAAGGATTTCATTTCTCCTTTGCTTATGAAGCTTTGTTTGGCTGGATATGAAATTCTAGGTTGAAAATTCTTTCCTTTAAGAATGTTGAATATTGCCCCCCACTCTTTTCTGGCTTGTAGGGTTTCTGCAGAGAGGTCCACTGTTAGTCTGATGAGCTTCCCTTTGTGGGTAACCCGACCTTCCTCTCTGGCTGCCCTTAACATTTTTTCCTCATTTCAACCATGGTGAATCTGATGATTATGTGTCTTGGGGTTGCTCTTCTCGAGGAGTACCTTAATGGTGTTCTCTGTATTTCCTGAATTTGAATGTTGGCCTGTCTTGCTAGGTTGGGGAAATTCTCCTAGATAATAGTCTGAAGAGTGATTTTCAACTTGGTTCCATTCTCCCTGTCACTTTCAGGTACACCAATCAAATGTAGGTTTGGTCTTTTCACGCAATCCCATATTTCTTGGAGGCTTTGTTCATTCCTTTTCATTCTTTTTTCTCTTTGTCTTCACGATTTCATTACGTTGATCTTCAATCTCTGATATCCTTCCTTCTACTTGATCGATTTGGCTATTGATACTTGTGTATGCTTCAAGAAGTACTTGTGCTGTGTTTTTCAGCTCCATCAGGTCATTTATGTTCTTTTCTAAACTGGTTATTCTAGTTAGCAATTCCTGTAACCTTTCTTCAAGGTTCTTAGCTTCCTTCCATTGGGTTAGAACATGCTCCTTTAGCTCGGAGGAGTTTGTTATTACCCACCTTCTGAAGCTTACTTCTGTTAATTCATCAAACTCATTCTCTGTCCAGTTTTGTTCCCTTGCTGGTGAGGTGCTGTGATCCTTTGGAGAAGAAAAGGCATTCTGGTTTTTGGAATTTTCAGCCTTTTGTACTGGTTTTTCTTCATCTGTGTGGATTTATCTACCTTTAGTCTTTGACGTCGGTGACCTTCGGATGGGGTTTCTGTGTGGACATCCTTTTCGTTGATGTTGATGCTATTCCTTTTTGTTTGTTAGTTTTCCTTCTGACAGTCAGGCTCCTCTGTTGCAGGTCTACTGGAGGCCCGCTCCAGACCCTGTTTGCCTCATTATTGCCAGCAGAGGCTGCAAAACAGCAAAGATTGCTGCCTGTTCATTCCTCTGGAAGTGTCATCCAAGAGAAGCACCCACCAGATGCCAGAACGGGCTCTCCTGTATGAGGTGTTTGTCAACCCCTGCTGGGAGGTGTCTCCCAGTCAGAAGGCATGGGGGTCAGGGACCCACTTGAGGAGACAGTTTGTTCCTTAGCAGAGCTTGAGCACTGTGTTGGGAGATCCATTGCACTCTTCGGAGCTGGCAGGCAGAAAGGTTTAAGTCTGCTGAAGCTGTGCCCACAGTCACCCCTTCCCCCAGGTGCTCTGTCCCAAGGAGATGGGAGTTTTATCTATAAGCCCCTGACTGGGGCTGTTGCCTTTCTTTCAGAAATGCCCTGCCTAGAGAGGAGCAATCTTGAGAGGCAATCTGGCTACAGTGGCTTTGCCGAGCTGTGGTGGACTCTGCTCAGTTCAAATTTCCTGGTGGTTTTAACACTGTGAGAGGAAAGCCGCCTACTCAAGCTTCCGTAATGGCAGACACCCCTTCCCCCACCAAGCTCAAGCGTCCCAGGTCACCTTCAGACTGCTGTACTGGCAGTTGAGAATTTCAAGCCAGTGTTAGCTTGCTGGGTTCCATGGGGGTGGGATCCACTGAGCTAGACCACTTGGCTTCCTGGCTTCAGCCCCCTTTCCAGGGCAGTGAACAGTTCTGTCTCACTGGCATCCCAGGTGCCACTGGAGTACAAAAATAACCTCCTGCAGCTAGCTTGGTGTCTGCCCAAATGGCCACCCAGTTTTGTGCTTGAAACCCAGGGCCCTGGTGGCACAGGCACCCGAGGGAATCTCCTGGTCTGCGGGTTGCAGAGACAGTAGGAAAAGCGTAGTACCTGGGGCTGCAGTGCACCATCCCTCAGGGCACAGTCTCTTGCGGCTTCCCTTGGCTAGGAGAGGGATTTCCCTGACCCATTGCGCTTCCTGGGTGAGGCAATGCTCCACCCTCTTTCTGCTCACACTCCGTGGGCTGCACCCACTTTCTAACCAGTCCCAATGAGATTAGCTGGGTACCTCAGTTGGAAATGCAGAAATCACCCGCCTTCTGTGTTGATGTCGATGGGAGCTGCAGACCAGAACTGTTCCTATTCGGCCAACTTGCCAGTGACCACACCCGCCCACGTTTTTTTTTTGTTTTTTTTTTTTTAATGGAATCTCGCTCTGTGGCCAGGCTGGAGTGCAGTGGTGTGATCTCGGCTTACTGCAACCTCCACCTCTCGGGTTCAAGCCATTCTCCTGTCTCAGCCTCCCAAGTAGCTGGGATTACAGGTGCACGCCACCATGCCCAGCTAATTTTTGTAGTTTTAGTAGGGACACGGTTTCACCATGTTGGCCAGGATGGTCTTGATCTCTTGACCTCTTCATCCGCCCACCTTGGCCTCCCAAAGTGCTGGGATTACAGGCATGAGCCACCACTCCCAGCCTGGATATCTCCTTTTAAGAATTGTCTATTCATGTCTTTAGCCCACTTTTTTTCTCTCTCACTGGTTTGAGTGCTTTGTAGATTTTAGATATTAGTCCTTTGTCAGATGTGTTGTATATTGTGAAGACTCTCTCCTACTCTGTCAGTTGTTTGTTAACTCTATTTCTTTTGCTGTGCAGAAGCTTTTTAGTTTACTTAAGTGCCATCTAGTTATCTTTGTTTTTGTTCCATTTGCTTTTAGGTTCTTGGTCATGAAGTCTTTGCCTAAGCCGATGGGTTTTCCAATGTTACCTTGTAGAAACTTTATGGTTTCAGGTCTTAGATTTAAGTCTTTGATCCACCTTGAGTTTTTTTTTTTATAAAGTGAGAGATGAGGATCCAGTTTCATTCTACACGTGACTTGCCAGTTATCCCAGCACTATTTGTTGAATAGGGTGTCCTTTCCCACTTTATGTTTTGTTTGCGTTGTCAAAGATCAATTGGCTGTAAGTATTTGGCTTTATTTATGGGTTCTCTATTTTGTTCCATTGGTCTATGTCCCTATTTTTTATACCAGTATCATGCTATTTTGGTGACTACTGCCTTATAGTATAGTTTGAAGTCAGGTAACGTAATGCCTCCAGATTTGTTCTTTTTGCTTTGTCTTGCTTTGGCTATGTGGGCTTTTTTTTGGTTCCATATAAATTTTAGGACTGTTTTTTCTAGTTCTGTGAAGAGAGAAGGTGGTATTTTGATGGGAATTGCATTGAACTTGTAGATTGCTTTTGGCAATATGGTCATTTTCACGATATTGATTCTACCCATCCATGAGTATGGGATGTGTTTCCATTTGTTTGTGTCAACGTCATTATTTTTAAAATGCTGCCATTTGACTATCTCAGAACCAGAATATGTGGACTATGAACCACATGAAAGCTAAGGAGCCACCAGACAAGGCAGCCAGATAATGAGGTAAGTAATGAGAGCATGGAAAATGAATAAAAGCCTTTCAAATCTCTGACAAAGTAACTGAAGACAAGGACTCTTCCCCTGTGTGAAGTTTGTGGTTGACACATTGTGGCACTGCAACAGTAATTTTAATTTTTAATATGCAAGAATATATTTAGAAATAGTTTAAAATGTTTAAGAAAAATGAATGGTAACTGATTAATATATAATAACTCTGTACCTTGATGAGGTCCTTGTAGGTCCAACAGCTTCCTGTGTTAATAGACGTAGTGTATTATTCCATTCTCACACTGCTAGAAAGAACTACCTGAGACAGGCCAATTTATGAAGAAAAGAGGTTTAATTGACTCCCAGTTCTACAGGCTGAACAGGAATCATGACTAAGAGGCCTTAGGAAACTTACAATCATGGTGGAAGGCGAAGGGGAAGCAAGCACTCTTAACACGATGGAGCAGGAGCAGAGGGAGGTGCCACACACTTTTAAAGAACCACATCTTATGAGAACTCATTCACTATCATGAGAACAGCAAGGAAGCAATCTGCCCCCATGATCCAGTCACCTCTCACTAGGCCCCTTGTCCAATTCAACACGAGATTTAGGTGGCGACACAAATCCAAGCTGTATCACACATAGCAGTGATCAGACTCAGGAAGCACATTTATTATACTGACCACACCTACACACAGTTAGCTGATAAGACTGCTATCTGTGGTTGAGGGGGGAGGAGACCCAAAGAAGGACCAGAATATTGTCATTTAGGGTATGATGTTTAGGCTATTAGGTGGACAGCAAAAATGGCAGAGGAGGGTAGGGTGGTACAATGAGTGATAGATGATCCGATGTGAATTGAAGGCCTGAAAACTACAAGAACAGGTGTGTTTTGCCACCTACAGTAAGAACACTCATGTCAGTAAGGCAGGACCACTCCTTCTTGTGTATTTCTGAAAACACATACAGGAATTCCTAATCTCTCATTCCCTCTTTTCTAAATGTCATAAGACAATTTGTAGTCCTGTGTTGACATTATGGATTTTGGTTTAGAGTTTAGACATTTAAAAGATACTGGACCCTAGGTCTGTGACAGTGCAGTTACTGAACACAGGTGATGAGTATCAAACAACTTGAGTAAATGATTCCTTGTGTCCATGTTACAACTTTCAAGTTCCAATTCATGCTGACTTAGTTTAGTTCTAGATGTGTATTCTCATGATGATATCTGCAGATACAACATGCTCATAATAGATTTAGTTTCTAAACTGTCCCTTAAACTGGTTTCTCTATATCTTTCATGTTGATTGTTTTTTTTAAAAACTCCAGATCTAATTGCACTTTATATACGGCTAGAGATCAGACAGTAACCCTTTTCTGAGTTTAAGGTCTACAATCCTTTCAGATTAGACCTCAAATGGACACATCCTGTACCTGTACAGCAGAGCTCTGGAAAACCAGAGGGATGTAATTGTAACCCTCTGTTTACACTGCATCCTTACTTCTTCAGCAGCTGAGTCAAGCCAAAACCAGTGATAGTAGAAAATTATATTCGTATAGCCAACATTTAATTGTTGACATATAGAAAATACCTTTTTTCAGTTAATTTCTTAATTATAGGTGAGATCTATGTTCCCAGCCCAAATACTCAATGGGTGTCTATTTAATAATGTGAACATTTAGTTTGCTTTCACTGAAGGAGTGCAGGTCATAAAACACACTACCAAAATAAACCTCTACAATGATCCTGATTATTCTGTTTAACTGATCTCTGGGCACTGTATAATATTGACTGGAAAGGCACAAAAGAACATTCCTTGCTTTTCTGCTCTTTTGTGAGTGGACATGGCAAGGAAGAAAATCCTTTCACCTTTGCACAATCAAAGCTGTTCTTTTGGATAATGTTAGACTAATCACTGAGTAAGAAGACTGGACCAAATCTTTAACAATTCAGAGGAAAATGAATTTAGGGCTCCCTTATTCTCAAGGGACCCCAGGCTATTTTCCCCAAAATGTACAGGTATTATGGGTAACTTATTACTAGGTGTCTTGTCTCTTTCCTGTCTAAACCTGCAGTTCACAGTGCAAGGCTGGCACAGAGTGTGAGACAATACTCTTTATGCAGTGGATTTTAAATCATTGGAACACAGAAGTGTAAAATGTGGAAACGTGAGAGCTGATCGTATTAATTGAAGCTACTGTTCCACAAATTTTAGGAGATTGTATCCAGTAGCAGAGAAATTGGTTCGTTAGTAGATTCTGACAAAACGTTGGTTTTTATATTATTTACTTTTTTCTGAAAAGAACAAAAAGTTTAAAAAATTTTTATTTTTAAAAGTCTATCCAGTTAACTTGCTTGACTAGATGAGAGTGCTGAGAAAAAGGTTTTAGCTTCCTTCTCTTCACAAATATCTTTACTTAACGTCTTGCCCTTCAGTGCTAGATAATCAGCAGACAAGAGAGACTTGCTAAAAACTGTGGGTGGTGGAATGGATCCTCAGTACTGAGTACAGAACAACACGTGCCATTTTCTAATCATTGTGTGTGCAGAATTGGTGGGTTCTTGGTCTCACTGACTTCAAGAATGAAGCCGCGGACACTCGCGGTGAGTGTGTTGCAGTTCTTAAAGATGGTGTGTCCAGAGTTTGTTCCTTCAGACGTTCAGATGTGTCTGGAGCTTTTTCCTTCTGGTGGGTTCATGGTCTCCCTGTCAGGAGTGAAGCTGCAGACCTTTGTGATGTTACAGCTCTTAAAGGCAGTGAGTCTGGAGTTGTTCATTCTTCCCGGTGGGTTCATGGTGTCATGGCTTCTGGAGTGAAGCTACAGGCCTTCCCGGTGAGTGTTACAGCTCATAAAGGCAGCATGGACCCAAAAAGTGAGCAGCAGCAAGATTTATTGCAAAGAGCAAAAGAACAAAGCTTCCAAAGTGTGGAAGGGGACCCCAGCGGGTTGCCACTCCTGCCTGGGGCAGCCTGCTTTTATTCCCTTATCTGACCCCATCCACATCCTGCTGATTGGTCCATTTTACAGAGTGCTGATTGGTGCATTTACAATCCTTGAGCTAGACACTGCTAGACAGAAAAATTCTTAGTCCCTACTAGGTTAGCTAGACACAGAGTTAGCTAGATACAGAGTACCAATTGGTGTATTTATAAACCTTGAGCTAGACACAGAGTACTGATTGGTGTATTTACAAACCTTGAGCTAGACACAGAGTGCTGATTGGTGTATTTAGGATCCTCTAGCTAGACATAAAAGTTCTCCAAGTCCCCATCAGATTAGCTAGATACAGAGTGCTGATTGGTGCACATACAATCCTCTTGCTAGATACAAAACTTCTCCAAGTCCCCATCAGGCTCAGGAGCCCAGCTGGCTTCACCTAGTGGATCCTGCAGGGGGCTGCACGCAGAGCCACCCGCCACTCCCGAGGCGGGCCTGCACTCCTCAGCCCTTTGGCGGTCGATCGGACTGGGCGCCAGGGAGCAGGGGGCGGCGCCCGTCGGGGAGGCTCCGGCGGGATGGGAGCCCACCTCAGGCGGGGAGGTCAGACATGGCGGCCTGCGGTCCCGACCCCTGCCCCGCGGGGAGGCGGCTGAGGCTCCGTGAGAATTCGACCACAGCGCCGGCGGGCAGGCACTGCTGGGGTACCCCGCGTACCCTCTGCAGCTGCTGGCCCGGGTGCTAAGCCCCTCACTGCCCTGGGCCGGTGACGCCGGCCGGCCGCTCCGTGTGCGGCCCGCAGAGCCCGCCAGAACTCACACTGGCCCGCAAGCGCCGCGCGCAGCCCCGGTTCCCGCCCGCGCCTCTCCCTCCACACTTCCCCGCAAGCAGAGGGAGGCGGCTCCGGCCTCAGCCGGCCCACAGAGAGGCTCCCACGGTGCCGCGGCGGGCTGAAGGGCTCCTCAAGCGCCGCCAGCGTGGAGGCCGCGGAGGCGCTGAGAGTGAGGGCTGCTAGCACATTGTCACCTCTCAACGGCGCCCGTGAACCTCTCTAAACAGGCAAATGAGACCACGGGTGATGGAGGGTCAGTGAGAGCTCGCGGGGAGACGCCATTCTGCTGGGGTTCTGGAGAGGCCAAAGCTGAAGACGGTCCTGTTTGCGGTCGGCAGGGCCTTTTACTTTCTGGCCATTACTGGCAACTGCACCAACCTCCTCCTCTCGCTGGTGGCGCCTCCACTAAACACTCCCACTTCCTCCGCGACCGGGCCCTCCTCCACCTCCTGCCACAGCACTCGCAGCTTCCCCCAAGTGCTGGTTAACCTCGGGGGGCTCAAGCAAATCCATGGCCCGCGGGGTGAGAGGTGCGGCCCTCTGAAGCCTCTGGCTCCGGGTCTGGCCTGGCCGCGCCGGCTCCGAGGGCTGCTGTTTCGCCCTGAGGTCGCCGCGTACACCTACCTGGGGCGGTGCGGTCACCGCCGCTGCAGCCACTTCGTGTGTGTGACGCCGGCCAACACTGCATTTCAGCGTAGACCGGCCAAGTGGAAGGCCTGGCTTTCCCCGGCCACCCTCGCGGTCCTACCGCGCCTCTCGCGCGACTTGGCCTGGGCCCCTCGGGGTCGGCACACTGCTGCGCATGCGGTCTCAGCGCCCGGCCTTTACGCGCGGCTGCCGCTCTTTCCACAGCACCGCAGTCTGCACGAGCGCTGCACCCGCTTCAGCTGCTTGTCACCGCCGCTCAATTCCCTCACCCACACGCTGAGAGGACTAGAAAGGCGCCCTGGGGAAGGCTCGCGGGAAAGCCCGCAGCCGCTGGACGCGGGAGGACATGGAGGTAGGCGGGAGCACTCACCGGTGATTCCGTGTCGTCCGCGAGGCGTTTTCTCTTCAGGAAAACACTGCACAATGGCATCCATTAATAAAACGGTGGGAAACGGGCGCCGCGGTGCTCGCCTGCAATCTCAGCGCTTTGGGAGGCCAAAGCGGGCGGGTTGCTTGAGCTCGACAGTTCCATAGCAGCCTGGGCAACACGGCGAGACCCCATGCTACCAGAAATTTTAAAAATTAGCCAGGCGTAGTGGCGCCTGCCTTTAGTGCTAGTTACTTGGGAGGCTGAAGCGGGAGGATCGCTTGAGCCCAGGAGTTTGAGGCTTCAGTGAGCTCTAATCACACCACTGCACTCCAGCCTGGGCAACTGAGCAAAACGCTATCTCTGAAAAAAGAAAAAAGTGGCAGGGATGTGAATGTAAATGGAGCAAGGCGTTCTCTCTTTCAGGGGTCTCAGACTTTGTATCTTTGCTTGCAGGTGGACTGACTCTCCCATGTCCTTCAAAGTTAATTGCAAAAGAGTTCATTGCAAGAGATGATGTGCTGGTGGAAAGAGAGATGCTGCTTCCTCTTTCCGTAGTGGGGTTTTACAGGCAGATAATGACTGCTTTGCAGCTCACTTGTGACTGATTCCACTGAGCGGTAATGTCAATATTAGATCAGATACAAGAGTAAGGAGACAGCATGGCAGAAACGCACGTGTGTGTCTGTGGGGAGTGTTTTCTGGGGTACACTTTTTACTTCCTACGGGCCCTTTTGTTCTGAATTTTCCAGACCGCTGTGCAGATGACACTGTTACTTCCTCAGGCTGTTGCCTGTCCCCTCAGGCCCTAAGTAGGTAACATGTACCTGCCTAAGAGCAGTGTTTCCTTTACATTTCAGGTTATATGCCACTTACAACATCAATTTAAAGAATGTGGCAAACATTTGTTATTCTAGGTTAGCATACAATGGATTAGAAAATTTCACAGAGGACTATGCATGGTAGTGAGTCAGTTGTGTGTATGTGTGTGTGTGAAATTTGTTTCTTACACCGACAGAAAAGTTTGAAAGTCACTACTTTAGAGCTTTAGAGAGTTTCTGTTGGAACAAAGTTCCAAGCAACCCATACGTCTGTACAAGAGGAAAATCGAGGAATATCACTTTAAGGAAACATAGGGTCGTGTGTAGCAAGATACGGATTCGAAGAGTGTAGAGCAAGGAAATCACAGCTGCTTAGTATGGGAGGGTTTGCCAGGATAAATAATGATGATATGTTGACAGTGATAATGTTAATCATGCTGATTATGATAAAAATGAAACTATTTTTTCAACTCATGCATTTTCACCTTTTGACAGTCATGAAGTAGGAACATTTTAAGATTTAGTGGCAAGTCATAGTTTTTACTTCATATTTCCCTTTAAAATTTACACTAAAAAACAAAGGTGAGCTTCTCTGATTACTCTAAAAATAAATGAAATTGCAACTATTTCCATGAACTACTTATGCTTAGTTCCTGTAATGGCTAGTTTTGTGTCAACGTGACTAGATTGTAGTACCCAGATATTTGGTCAAATACCGGTCTGAGTGTGACTGTGAAAGTATTTTTTTCAGATGACATTAACATTTAGATGAGTAGACTTTGAGTAAAGTAGATTACCCTCCATGATGTGGATGGGCCTGATCCAATTCAGTTGAAGGCCTTAAGAGAAAACAGACTGAGGTCCTACAAGGAAGGAGGAGTTCTTACATCTGCTTTCAAGCTACAGCTGTAACACCAACTTTTCTTGGAGTCTCCAGCCTGTCCTGAAGAGTTCTGATTTGCCAACTCCCACAGTTGAGTCAGCCGGTTTCTTCAAATAAGTACCCTCACCTCTTCACACACACACACACACACACACACACACACACCCCCACACACACACCCACACCCCTTCTGTTGATTCTCTTTCTCTGGAGAGCCCTGACTAACGCAGTTGTACTACAAACTTCCCAGAAGTTACAGAAAACAAAGCACATCTTGATCAAATTTGGATGTTTTTGCCTTTTTTTAAAGCCCCTAAACTCTTTAGGTTAATGCAGTTTTCAAATTTCGTTTCTCATGTTCAAATATGTTTGTTCAAGCAGGACAATCTTTCCTTATATTTTCAGTTCAGATTTCCTCATTGGATTATTAGAGGTTAAAAAAATTATGGACATTGCAAAAGGAAAAGGGGAAACCAACTTACGTCTATACTACTTTATCTTCTGATTTTTGAAAGGGAAAAGAAGTTTGTTGCAATCTTTCTTTTTCTGTGTTTCTTATTAAGCCTCTGAATTTTTCACTATTTTGTCTTATAGTTTTAGTATGTTTAGCCTGGTGTGTACTAGACATTGCCTCTGGCACTACACCACATGCATTTAGTGTGGGCCTATATAAACTTAGTCAAGCAACTGTGTTAGAAAAAAAATTTTATTCTGTGGTGAAATAAATGTTTTAGATTTTGTTTTATTATTATTATTATTTTTTTTAAATTTTTTTTTTCTGAGACGGAGTCTTGCTCTGTCACCCAGGCTGGAGTGCAGTGGCGCGATCTCGGCTCACTACAAGCTCTGCCTCCTGGGTTCACGCCATTCTCCTGCCTCAGCCTCCCGAGTAGCTGGGACTACAGGCGCCTGCTACCACGCCCGGCTAATTTTTTTTTTGGTATTTTTGGTAGAGACGGGGTTTCACCGTGTTAGCCAGGATGGTCTTGATCTCCTGACCTTGTGATCCGCCCGTCTTGGCCTCCCAAAGTGCTGGGATTACAGGCTTGAGCCACCGCGCCCGGCCAATGTTTTAGATTTTGAATTTATATTCTTGCTTTTTTTTTTTTTTGCAAGGAGAAAATCCTATAGGCACCTTTCCAACCATCTACCCAACTAGGAATTGGGAATCCAAAAAAATTAAGAATTCACTCAATTTTTATATACCTGTAGTATTAATTATAACAGGATTGATGAGACTGTTACAAGGTTATAAGCATTTTCAACACTAAGAAAAACATAATGTATAACTTTTAATGAGAATTTTTTCTGTGTGCTCTAACAAATACAGCTTCACATAGCTAACAGTCTAGTTTTAGAAAATATATGAAATCCTCTGTATTGTATCAAAAAATGTTTATCATTTTTAGTAAATAAATGTAGAGATTACTACAAGATATGGAATAAGAATGAGTAGCTGAATATTTCAATAGTTCTACGTAGCCATTCTCTAAGCACACTTCTTTGCTCTCTAAACAAAAGGAAATCATTAAACACATCTTCCTACTCAAAGGCTTTTGTGTGGACAGTCTTCTCAAGGTTTGCTGTTAAATACGATTAAACTGTGGATATGGTTCCAAACAGAATCATTTTATTCCATATAACTTCACCACCCTTTGGCTTTGTTTTCTTTTCTGAATATCAGAAACTTGGTCTAAATAATGATTAATTTGATAACGATGATTTTGGCAAAAATGCCAATGTTGATGATGCTGAGGATGAAGTAACAATCTTTCTATATGTGGAGATTATATACTTTCTTGTTTTCTTTATCTTTCTCCTTTGATAGCCCAAATCTCTTCATTTTCTGGACCTTAAATTAAGGAAACTCATGGGCAATTGGAATAAAAACCCCAAGGTGGGATAGTAGTATCTTGTGATCTAAGCAAGGACCGAGTGACCTTTCCCAGGGACTAAGAGGAAGCTGATGGTCGTCACATCTCAGTTCATTTTATTTCAGATAGAGAAGGAGTTGGCAATTGAAGAAGCTCCATCCATCTACTGTTTGTCAGTAGCTCTTGCTGTGCAGTTTGGGGTTGGCAGCCTCCTACAGAACAGATGTCCTGTCAACCTGTATACACTTTATCTCCTTTGAACCACTGTAGTTTTGATCTCTGTTACAGCAGTGTAATAATCAAGTAATAATCAAGACCTATATGAAGAAAACTGGAAATCTTTCCTGAAGGAATAAAAGATCTACATACATATATAGACAGGCATAATTCCTAACATTCATTGAGGTTTTACTGTGCTAGTCACTGTATTGAGTACCAATTTCTCGTTACTTAATTCTCTACAGAAACCCTTCAAGACTGGTGTTTTTGCCACCCTTTACAGATAAAGACAGCAGAGTTCAGAGGGAGAGGTTTATTGACCAAGGACTCATACTCAAGTGAGGCATCAGGACCCATAGCAAGTGCTTACTCAATGACATGATCCCACCCCCGTGCTTCATTATCCACACGGAAGTCTTGGTCCTGCAAACATGGTAAATTTTCCAGACGTTAACTTAAAAATGTGGTTCAATACCAACCACAGTCCCAATAAGATACTGTTTTGGGTTAGGAGGAAGCTAGTTGTGACTTTAACCTGGTAGAGCAGAATATAGTGACAACCATGAAAAGTCTAAATTAGAAAAATAGATAACGATTGATGCCTTGTTCTACTAGATGACAAAATATACTGTATATCAACAGCTATTAAAAGTGTGTTACAAATGTGAATAAATGAAATAAATGAATAAATATTAATAGAATTGATATTCCTGAAACAAATTTGCACATATATGAAATTTTGAATATGGTAAAGATATAATTTAAAGCTAATAACAAAAATACAACTAGTGAAATAAATTGTTTTGGGACTATTGACTGAAGATTTGGAAAATAATAACATCTGTCTTACACATACACACACACACTCTCTCTCTCTCTCTGCAGATGCAGCGAATTGAAAACCTAAACATAAAATAGAAACCCATAAAACGAGAAGATAAATACAATCTGGAAGATCGGAGGCCATTTCTAAGCATAACTCCAGGCATGAAGGCTTATCATGCCTTTTACTTCTTCCAAATAGTCTGAAAATATGAAATTCCATGCATCTAGGACCTCTAAGACATTTATTACCTGGGCCTGAGGGATCTCTCAGACCTCACTTCCTGCCATTCTTTCCCTTACTCTATTTCAGCCACAACAGCCTTTCAACACATGAAGCCCTTCGTCTTCCAAAGCCTTGATACTGGCTACTCCCTCCCTTTGGGATGCCCTCCATACTCATGCTGTGTGACTTCTTCCTTCATTTCAGGGGAGAAGTCAAGTGGCAGCCCTAGACCTCATGTCACCTTCTCCAGGCTCACCCTGCGTGGCGGTTGATCATATCTCTTCTTAACCGACATTCTCATTTGCTTCCTTTGTTGATGAGTATTCTCTCTTCCCGGAACTTTTGCATCCCATGAAAGCAGGAATATCAGTTATTTATTCCTGCATCTTCAGCCTTCAGTACAGGCCACATACATAAATGATGTTTAAATAATAATTCATTTCTTTGAATGAAATAGTGAACAGTTCCACAACTAGAAGGCATAAAGGCATGATTGATAGAGTTTAATACATACAACATTTAAAACTTTTGTACCACAAATGAAACAAACAAAACATAGCAAAAGGATAAACGTCCCACTAGAAAAATGATTCAACACTTATATGATGACAAAGATGTGTAGAATCATATGTCAATTACCACTACAAATCAGTAAGCAAAGTGTAAAACAATGAAAATTTAAGAAAAAGCAATTTATTGAAGAAATGCAAATAGCCCCCAAACATACCAGAAGATGTTAAACCTCACTAATGATTAAATCAATGCCAAATAAAATGATACTGAGGTAAGATTTACAAGTAAAACTAAAGTTACTGACAAAATAAAATGTCAGTGAAATTGTGAGAATATATGCCTTTGTACACATTATTGGCAAAAGTATGAATTTGGTCTCTGAAGGGAAATTTAAATATGTCCACATAATGTCAACATGTTCTGTGAGGAAAAAACAAACTAAAGTGCTTTTTCTATTCTCTCACTCAACAATCAACACAGAATACTTCTATGACTAAAGGTGATGAGGTTAAGCCCTTATACCAAGCAATCAATCAATCCTGTGGCAGACACCAGCTGGGTGTCCTTCAATTCAGTTTTGACACTGTCTACCTGGAAATTACGCCAGTATGCAGGGTGATGGCTAAGTCTCAGAAGACATCTCCCCATTTCCAAAACCAATTATAAGCCTCAAGTTCTTTTTACCTGTGCATCTGACCAGTGAATCAGCAATAAGTCTGGGTTACCACAGCCCCTTTCTTGGGTTTGATTAATTTGCTAGAGCAGCCCACAGAACTCATGGAGGCATCTACATTTAGCAGTTTATTGTAAAGGATATTGCAAGAGATACAGATGATGAGATGCATAGGGCGAGGTATAGGGAAAGGGTGTGGAACTTCCATGTTCTCTCCAGGTTCACCACCTTCCAGGAATCTCCACGTGTTCAGCTGTCTGGAAGCCCTCTGAACCCAGTCCTTGAGGGTTTTTATGGAGGTTTCATTCTGTAGGCATGACTGATTAAATCACTAGGAATTGGTGATCTGCTTAACGTTCATCCCTTCTCCCCTCCACGGAGGTTGGGGGCTGGGTCTGACTATCTTAACCCTCTAATTCTGCCTTGGTCTTTCAGGTGTCCAGCTCCCATCCTGAAGCTACCTAGGGACTACCAGCCATTTGTCCACTCACTAACATACAAGTACCACTTTAAAGAATCTAAGGATTTTAGTAGTTGTATGCCAGGAAACCTATTGAAGACCAAATATACACTTCAGAGTATTACACATGTGAATACCATTTTTTATTCTAAAATTTATCTTGAGCTACTAGTCAAGTTTGCAAAGATTTCAATACACATGAACTTATCGTAGCTTTGTTTGTAATAATGAAAATGAGAAAATTCCATGGTCGTTAGGTTTGAAATATACATGTGCACAGCATGTGTTGAGATGAGAAAATATCTATGATCTGTTAAGTGAATTTATTCACCAAGAAATCTTGAGCGTGCTATTCTCTGGGTTGGTTTCTCAATTCTTGCATTCCTTTCTTACCACGAGAAGCTTGCCATGTTGAGGGTGAGTATAATTTTTAAAGTTTATATTTTTTACTGTATTTGACTCGCAACACTTGACCTAAAGTTCTGACAGAAGCTGGAAGATAAACTGGTGTGTGAGAAATTACCTTAGTCTGGGTGTTTCCAAGGCAGAAGCTGTGTCCAGTGCACATGTTCTGTGATCCCAAAGAGCAGGAAAGGGCAAGGACAAAGAGGGTTTGGCCATGACCAAGGGTGACTGGTGCTCCATGCTTCTGGAACCTGGGAGCTTTGTGAAATGCATCTTACTTCAGGAAGTGTGTCTCCACTGGCTTACATCCCCATAGTCAGTGTGGCTTGGGTCCTTCACTCTCCACATTTCTCAGCTGTGCATGCTCTGGTGATGCATGACCCTCATAGTGGGCAGCATGGGAGGAAACCCAAACGTGAAGTAGAGGGTTCACAGAGCAGGTTTGGGATGATCCAGGTTTTGTATCATTCTGTGAGAAGCCATCAAAGCCTATGGTTGCTGCAAGAGGAATAAAGGAAAAGATGGAGCCTAGAAAATTCTGACATATTAGGCTGAAAAGGGACCTGGCATTGAAAGACAAGTCATATCCAATATGGCATGTAAGCATTTTCCTCTTTATTTATTATGATTTAAATCCAAGTAAGATGGGACTTCCCTCTATTTAGAAAGGTCTTTCACTTTCTTTCAGGATTTACTGCCTCAAGATGGCTGTGTTGGAAGATCCAATAGTTCTACTGGATGTAGAGCCAGAAATTGTATGGGAATGCCTGGTGTTTCTTTCACTTCTTCTTGGATACCAATCTGAGGCACAAATCACATTTCAAGTGTGTTTCCTTGGGTTTTGGAGAGGATGTCTTCATTTTCTGTTAAGCATTTAGGGAGCAGTTGGGTGAGCACATGACCAATCAGCCTGAGCCTTTAAGGCAGTTGGAGGAAAGTGTGAGCTATGGTCATCGTTCTCCTCTGTGCCAAACGGGCTGATGGATGGTCAGGCCAGTGCTGTCCTCATGGTTCTGGGAGGGTCTATGTTGTCTACGTTACCCCCAAATAAACTGATGAGGACCTGCACTCCTGTCCTGAGTTGACACCCAGCCTTGAGGTCAAGAAGATGACAGATATTTGGGGGTAATGGGTCCCAGAGGATCCTTCTGTCACTTCCTCATTGCTTTCTCTGGAGGTTCTAAAAACTTGACTACTGAGCTTAAACAAAGCCATGAACTGGCAGAGGAAAATTACAGTGCATCCAAACTCCAGAGATTTTTAATTAATCTTTTCAAGAGGTTAGGGAAAGTTTTTAGTATTCAGATTGAAGTTTTTCTTCAGATCTTGAATGTTTGAACATTTTTTATTTTAGCTTTTAGTGGACATATAATAATTGTACCTATTTCTGGGGTAAACAGTGATGTTTGGATATACATAATGTATAGTGATCAGATAAGTGTAATTAGAATATCCATCATCTCAAACATTTATCGTTTCTTCGTGCTGGGAACATTCAATATCCTCCTTCTAGCTGTTTGAAAATACAGAATATATTATTGTTATGGTCATCCCACAGTGGTATAGAACACTAGAACTTACTCCTCCAGTGGAGCTATAATTTTGTATCCTTTAACAAATCTCTTCTCATTCCCCCACCACTGCTATCCATTCCCAGCCTCAAGTATCCTCTGTTCTACTTATTTCTATGGGATCAACTTTTTTTTTAGCTTTCGTATATGAGTGAGAAATGCAGTATTTAACTTTCTTAAAAATTTTATCTGATACTTTAAAAGTTACTATTTCCCCCATTTGTTTCTGTTTCTTCAGTCTTTGGGTTCTAAACTGAGTAAAAAATGTCAATAACTTGATTTCTCCCTTCCCGACTCATACTAATGTTATGTGTCTCTGACTCCTAGAGTACCTGCTGTCTGCTTTTTACTTTCCCTTCCCCCACCCCGAAGCCCCTAAAATTGTATAATTATTTTTAAATTTCATTTTACTTTGTTTTTAATTCACAAATAACAATTGTTCATACTTATGGGGTACAGTATGATGTTTTGATACATGTATACTTGTGTAATGATCAAATCAAGATAATTAACATATCCATTACCTAAAACACTTGTCATTTCTTTGTAGTGAGAGCATTCAAAATCCTCTCTTCACAACATGGATGAACCTAGAAGACACTGTGTTAAGTGAAATAAGCCAAACACAAAGGGACAAATCCTGCATGATCTCACTCATATTTCATGTTTAGCCAACTATTAAGGAAAAAGTATGGGCCACTTTACAAATGAATCTGCATTATACACCAGCAACAGAAAGAAGCAAATGGCATTATACCACAGTACCCCTCCAGGTGGTGCCAAAAGATGGTGAGGAAGGGAAACTTCCCGGTGGTCAAACTACAGGCAGTTTAGCTGGTTGTTAATTTTTTATAGAAGGAGATGGGCACAGAAGTTTGGATATGCACTGATTTAGGAGCATTGGATGACAGGTTTTTTTGGTGAGAGATTTGTGAAGAACAAGGCTGGAAAATTAATGGCAGGCAAATCTGGAGAAGAGGACATTGAAGAATTTCTTGTAAAGTGCACAGATCATGAAGATATTTGTCTTACATAGATGCCCATGGAGAGGGCATCCACTGCAGAGATGGATCTTGATAGTATGGTAGATAAGATGACTCATCTAGTAGATAATCAGTCAATCTCTTTTGCCAGCAGGCTTGCTCACTGGGCCTATGAGAAATTGAACATGGAAGCAGGGATGGAAACTATGAATGGGCACAGCATTATGACATTTCTCTCACCAAGGTTAGCATGTAATTTGGCACTATTTCCAGGTGTCTGGCTGGACTAGTAGCATAGTGATTACTTTGGACTCTTTTGAGCATAGAGTAAGCAATGTTAGTCTTTATAGGGACAGAATAATATTCTGGGGACCGTTTTGTCTTCCATGCCCCAACCATTTACATAATGAACAAAGCCTTAACCATCACCATGGCATCCCCTGCAATGTCACCTGTAACTAGGAAACATATTTCACAGCCAAAGGGGTGTGGCAATAGAATCGCCCGTGGAATTCATGATTCTTACTTCATACCTCAATATTCAGAAGCAGTGGGCTTGACTGAATGATGGAATGGGCTTTATTGAATGATGGAATGGCCTGCTGAAGGTTTAGTTATTGAAGCTGAGAAACAATACTGTGTAAATAAGGACTACTTTCCTACAGGCTGCAGTGTATGCCCTAAACCTGCAGCCACCGTAACCTGATACATGAGTCCAGAAACCAAGACACGAGAGTGTCTTGTACATGATGCATAATAATCCAATTGAAGAATTTTGCTTCATTTCACTGAAAGTTTGGATTTGGTGTGATGGTTAATGTGATATATCAACTTGGTTGGGCTGTGGTGCCTATTTTTTGTTCAAACACCAGCCTAGGTGTTACTGTGAAGGGTTTATTTTTGTTTGTTTTTGTTTGTCTGTTTTGATGCGATTAACATTTAAATCAGACTTTTAGTAAAGCAGATTACCCTTTATAATGTGAGTGGGCCTCATCCAATCAGTTGAAAGCCTTTAGAGAAAAGACTGACCTGCTTCCAAAAAGTGGGAATTTTGCCTCCAGACTTTGAACTCAAGCTGCAACATCAATAGCTGTCAAAATTTACAGCCTGCTGGCTTGCCCTGAAAATTTCAGACTTGCCAGTTCCCTAAATTATGTGAGCCCATTTCTTAACTCTCGATCTCCTTTACTGTTTTTTTCTTCTGTCCCGTATGTGTGTGTGTGTGTGTGTGTATTTGTGTATATATTCTCTTTTACATATATTTTTGGTTCTGTTTCTCTGGAAAACCCTGACTAATACAATGAATTGGAAGATCCTAGTACCAAAGTAGAGTAGTTTCATGAGAGAATATAGAGAGTCATAGTTCCTTATATTAAAAACTAAATATATATATAGAGAGAGAGGTGAACTCTATTGATAGGTTACTCTATTGACAGAAGTTCTTTAACATCTCGAAAGACTAGGTGTTGTAAATTAGAACTCGTTTGTCCTTTGGATACAGTGTATACACAGATAAGTAAAAGAAAATGCACAATCATAAGAAACAATGGTGAATCTCGCCTCACTGTTAGCACACTGGCTTAGAGCTCTCTGCACCTCTCTTATCCCCTCCTTCCTTGAACTAGTCCACAAACACCATGCCATCCCCCCACAAAATAACATTTCGTATGAATTTTAACAAAAAGTTATTTACAAAATATGTCATTTTACTATCTCTAATTTTAACATATATCAGGTACTTCAGAACATCTAGAAGGAACAGACATTTCAAAAAAGCTTAGCGTTGTCAACTCTATAGAGAAGTAATAAAATGCACACACATAATGGATAGAATATGAAAATGTCTTGGAAATACGACCCTTCAGGACTAGGTAGGTCTCGCCCAACTGCGACAAAGAGGTCGCCCAGAATGTGGACCTGCCGGCTCCGTGCCCTAAACAGGCAGCCGACCCCGCGCCCCTGGATCACCTTCTTCGCCCTCCACAGCCTAACGGCTTCCTCCCTGCTTACCGCCGTCACTCAAAGGCGCTGAATCCCGGCAGCACGGCGCGATCTTGGTCTGGGCCGGTGGGGTTGGACCGGGAGATCAAGGCTGGGGGAGGCCGCCGCTGTCGTCAGGCCCCCGAGGTGGGGTAGGAAGAGGTTCGCCGCAGCCTGAAAGCCTGGGCTGGGCGGGGGAGCCACAGCGAGGGCTCCGGAGCCTGCAAGGCGGAGGCAGCGGCCTGTCCTGGGACCAGCTCACCCCAGGCGCAGAGCCGAGGGCTGGGAGGGCTCCAGGGGCGCCGGGAAACAGGCCGGCTCCGGTCTCCCCGTGCGCTCTCAGCATCGTCAAAGTTTTATTATCCACGGAGCGTCCTGGAATCCACCCGATTCGGATACTGAGAAACAGCTGTATAACAACGCAAGGAATTTACAAAACAAGATGACAGTCAACATGTGTATATATAGCAAAAACCAACAATGGCAATTTAACAAAACTACGATAATTAACAAACAATAAATGTATTTTCTTGGTCTGGAAATAGTGTGAGCACACTCCTTTCAGATTTCCATCTACCTTGAGCTCAAACAATATTGGAAGAAAAACGACATCCCAACGACATCCCAAGTGTCCCGTCCTTCAAGGTCAGTTTGCTCTATGTAAACTTGATCTTCCTTCTCAGAAGGAACTGGAGTCTCTAAATTTGGGCCCGCTTGCCTGCAGAGCCACAGCAGTTCTCTAACACAGTGTGTCGGAGGGCATTCTTCACCTCTGTGTTCCTCAGGGTGTAAATAAATGGGTTCAGCGCAGGAGTGACTACGGTGTAGAAGAGAGCTATGAACTTGCCCTGCTCGTGGGAGGTGCTCTTGGCTGGCTGGAGATACATTAAGATGATGCTCCCATAAAACAGAGACACCACGGCCACGTGGGAAGAACAGGTGTTGAGTGCCTTTCTCCGCCCTTCTGCTGACCTGATCTTCAACACAGCCCGGGCAATATGGCCGTAAGAGACCAGGATGAGCCCCAGAGGGAGGACAACAAAGACAAAGCTGGCCAGGTACATCTCCATCTCATTGAGGCTGATATCCACACAAGCCAGTTGCATAATGAGGGGCATCTCACAAAAGAAGTGGTCGATGCGATTGTTCCCACACAGCGGTAGGAGCATGGTGAGAGTGGAGCCCACCATGCTGGTGGTCAGACCTCCCAGCCAGGAGGCCAAAGCTAGCCCAAGGCAAAGCTGTGGATGCATAATGACAATGTAATGGAGTGGCCTGCAGATGGCAGCGTAGCGGTCATAGGACATGGTGGCCAGCAGGACACACTCGGTTGCCCCCAGCCAATGGGAGATACAGAACTGGACCACACACCCTCCATAGCTTATGGTTTTTTATGGTCCCCAGAGGTTGGCCAGAAGCTGTGGGACAATGCTTGTGGTGAAACTGATGTCCAGGAAGGAGAGGTTGGCAAGAAAGAAGTACATAGGCGTGTGGAGGTGCACATCCATAGGGGAGACCAGAATGATGATGCCATTGCCCAAGATCGATACCACGTAAAAACCCAAGACAACTATGAAGAGGACAGCTTCTAGTGAGGGTCGTGCAGAGAAGCCCAGGAGGACAAAGACTTCTGGAGAACTCACATTGGCTATTTCCATCATTGTATGCTGGGGGTGGGGCAAAAGGCCACCTGTGGGAAGAGCACAGGGCATACCGGGCATGACACAAGCAATTACATTAGTTAGCAAACATTAAAAGTAAATTTTATTTCATTTTATCTTATTCTTTTTTAGAGACACAGTCTCACTGTGTTGCCCAGGCTAACCTCAAACTCTTGGGATCAAGCAATCCTCCCACCTCAACTTCCTCAGTAGGTGAGAATACAGGCACACACTACCATGACTGGTTAAAAATAAATTTTATAGCCATTGTTTTCAAAAGCAGCCGCTCAACAGCTCTGTGGATGGCACTGCATTATCTTCCTCACAGCCAACTTGGACTGTATAATAAAAGACTAGGGGGTGTTCACTGTCTGGAGAAAATGGACATTTATGCAAAATCCTTGGCACTGTTTTTTTTAAATTGAAATATTGTAGTAACAACATCTACATGCAACCTAAATGTTTAACAATAAAGGGTTAGTCAGGTAGAGAGTGGTCTTTCATGTGATGAACCACTGTACAGGCATTAAAATTGTGCCCTCTCAAATTCCACAATCATCTGCAATTTTTTTCTGTCATTAAATATGTCCAGTTTTTTATCCCTCCTCACCACCTCTGCTACTACTGGCCCATCTTGCCATCATTTATCATCTGATTTTTCATCTAATATTCTAACTCATCTCTCTGCTTCTCCTTTGCTCCCCTTCCAAGTACTCTCAAAAAAGTGTTGGGGCTCAGAAAATGATACCCCAACATGAAGGTCTCAGAAGCAAAAGTTTCTCTTTCTCCTGCCTTTTTGTCCCTAGCTCTTTCTTCCCCGAGGTTAGCCATAGAAGTTCAAAGCCAGTCATAAAACCTAAAAATGTTACTCTAACTTTCCCTCCACCTTTCTATGTTAAAACCAGCCATAAATAAATTATCTGACCTACCTTACTGGATTGTAGATCATAAGACCTCCATTCCAGACAGGTCTTACTCCTTACCAAGAAAAAAGGAACACTGCTCAGAGAGGCCACAAAGAACCTCACAGATGGGTCTTGCTGGGTTTCTTCACTCAGTCCATCAGCATTAGATCATGCCCTTCATGTTCAATCATATTTCTACATGGCTGTCCAAATGTCTTTGAACTTAAGCATAAAAATGGGAAGTTTTTCCTGTATCTTTGGATCCTCATCTAAAGGCTCCTCTGTCATGTAAAACTATGATTAAATAAATGTGTATGTCTTTTCTCCTATGAATCTGCCTTTTGTCAGTTGATTTCCGTGAAACTTCAGAGGACAAAGGTGAAATTTTCCCTCACTCCTACAAAAGGAATCAGAGGATTACATTAAAACATATCATCATGTCAGTCTGCTGCTCAACACCCTCATTGTCTTGGTACAAGGCTTGTAGCTGCAGTTTGCTATACTTACAGTGCTTTCTCCCCAAGACACCCACACACCCCCTTTCTCACCTTCTTCAGGCCATTTTTGAAAAGTCACCTTCTAACTGAGGCCCTCCCTCACTGTATTATATAATATTGAAAACCCTTACAATTCCCTTCTTTCTCTTTCCTGAATTATTTTTATATAAGGCAATAATCTTATAACAAATAAACTACTCTTATTTCTTTTGTCTGCTACCTGTCTCACTCCACTAGATCATAAATTCCATGGAGCCACAGTTTTGTATTGTTTACCTCTGGGTCCCCAGTGTCTAACCCAGTGTCTGATACACGGTAGTCCCTTAATATTCATGGACGTGCATCGTGGAACAGGTTGCTAGAAAGGTTCTGTGGGGTGGAAGAGGCAGGACTAGAGTAATATGAAGGCAGGTGGAAGGACTCAGCATAGACTTTCAGTAGTGTTGTCAGGAAAGAGCTCTTGGAACTGCCAGAGGCGTGCAGAAGGGTCTGGATATCCTCTGCTTTTGTACAGTTGGAATAAAACAAACACGATTTATCAGGGGCAGTGCATAAAGTCAGAAATTGGATAATTTCAGTGTGCTTCAGATGTCCCTGAAGACCTCTGGGGTCCTTCTTTGCAAAAACATTAATTCTAGCCTGTATTTTAAAAAGAAGAATCAATTTATTATAGTTAGGATTCACCCAAATTTGGGGAACAGAGCAGCTGTGAACTTAACTGTCAGCCTTCTTAAAATCCCAGAGAGTAAAATTTATCTATCCCTGTAACTGGAAGTCAATTAAACAAAATAGACATGAACAGACATGTGCATTCAGTTTTAAAAATACAGGTAGGTTTTCCATTGTGCATGTATAGAAATAAGGCTCAGAAAACTCCAGGCATTTGTTAAAATTCACATGTGGAAGCTGTCCTAGTGCGGACTTACTGTATCAGAATACTGAGACAATCATCTGGCCTGTATATAGTAGGCCAGGGAAGCATTAATACTGTGGGAGAAGGCATCCTGGAGAATTCCAACCTCCTCCAAATCAGGGAGGCAAGCCGGGGGCCTCCTAGTATTCCTAGTACTTTTGGGAGGTTGAAGTGGGGGGAATCACTTGAGCTCAGGAGTTTGAGGCCAGCTTGGGCAACATAGTGAGAGAGTGTCTTTACAAAAAAATAAAATGACCAAGTGTGGCTGTGTGTGTCTGTGGTCTCAGCTACTTGGGAGGTTGAGGCCAGAGAATGGCTTAAGCCCAGGAGATCAAGGCAGTAATGAGGCATGATTGTGCCACTGCACTCCAGCCTGGGCAACAGAGCAAGACCCTGTCTCAAAACAACAAACAAATCAGGGAGGTAGTTGAGACCTGTCAGAACGTGAGTGTTTTCATCATATGAATGTGAGAAAGAAAAGATGAACTGGGATTGGGAGAGTTAGGTACAACTGAGTCATGACACAGTCAAAGTGGGTGTACTGTATACAGAGTCACCGCTGATGAGCTGAAAAACAACAGGTTCAACTGACGACTGCATTATGACCCGTGGGTGTAAGTATTATGTCCCATCTGTGGAAAGATAAAAATTTTGTTGACTCACAGTTGATAACATGCAGAAAATGTATAAATGATGCTAAGAGAGGAACTACAAGATCACTCATGAGGTAATAGTTTAGTAGAATTTTTGAGGAAAAAGAGATCTTTGTGGTGATCTGATCTACTTCTAGAAATGTTTAGCAACTTATCCAAAGCCCCAGGGCTGCTTAGTCATACTGGAGCTATGCTGAAGATATTCAGATTCTTAGTACAAAAATAGTATTTTCAGTAAAGGAAGAGGTTTGCTTACCCACAGAGATTCACCAAAATTGTCACAATTAAAAACTTACCTTTCAAAATGCAACCTTAACCCAAACACTGTGCCATTAAGACAAAGATAGCATACTGAAAGTTAAGGAAACATCTTGCGTTCAAATTTTGTCTGAGTTAACTAGGCAGTCACAAACTGTATCCCAGAGCATAGGCAACCTGCTAAAATATCAAAGGCCACATGAGAAAATCAGATCACTTAAATGGATCAGTGCTCATCAGTTTTAACTGGAATTACCAGAAAGTCTGAGATCCCAGTTTATCTTAAATACCATAAAACCAACAACAAACAAATGACAAAATCCAAAATGTCACTTACTAATGGTGAGCTAGCAACATCATCTCCATTTACGCAGGGTGGAAATGTTGTAAAATGCGCAATATTTTATTAAAAAGACTGATAACAGTCATGAATTCAGTGCATGTGGCACTGAAAAAATAGATTAGCCAAGGGATTTTAAAGCCCCGCAAATAGTGGAAATCTCTAAGTCGGTGGTAGCAGACGTGTTAGATTCTGTTCAAATTCATGTCTAAAGGACACATTATTAAGTATTTAAATCACAATGGGATTGAGCTAGAAGAAAGCACTTAAAATATTTTGTGAGAAAATTGATAATCAAAGGAGTGAGAATGGCTCATGGTGTTTCCAGAATGAGAAATTATATGCAGACCCCAAAGGGTGAAGTGTTACGTAAAGTCCTTATAATTCTGAGACATTGATTGTAACCCCTGGAGCCTTCAGGAGGGAGCCTGAGGGTGATGGTATATATCAGGGGAGTAAAAGTGGAGGGAAAAAAGCTTTTGGGATTTCTTTCACTATTGGATAATTATAATTTCATTGTATTAACACACGGAATTGTTTCTTTTTTATGACTAGAATATTATTTTAGGTTTGTATACTGCCAAACTGCTTACGGAGCGTAAGAATCAAGTCTATCATGTAGTGGGGGGGATAGTCTGAGATATTTGCTCATTCTGTTAATTTTGATACATGCTACTACAGACTCTTTTGCTAAAAAAACCCATTGATTTTATTATTGGTGTATACCTCAGTGATGAGATAATGTTTTTCTTAATAAGTTAGATTTACCAATTTATTTTTATTTTGGTAAAATACAGATAACATATAAGTTTATCATTGTAACTATTTTAAGTGTGCAAGTCAGTGGAATTTAGTTCTTTCACAAACTTTTTCATCACCTCTATCAAGCGTCAGAACTTTTTCATCAGCTCAAATGGAAAACCTGTAGCCATCAAGCAGTCAGTCTTCATTTGCCAGCTCTCCCCAGCCCTGCCAACCACTAATCTGCTTTCTGTCTGTATGGATTTGCCTATTTTGGATATTACATATAAATGGACTTATACATGTTATTGTGTCTTGTTTCTTTCATTTAACATGATATTTTCAAGTTTCATCTATGTTGTAACATGTTCAGTACTTCATTCTCTTTTAAAGAGGAATAATATTCCATTCTATGACTCTACCACCTTTTGTTTATTCATCTATTGACAGACATTTGGATTTGTTTGTTGATGAACATTTGAGTTGTTTCTACCTTTTGGCTATTGTGAATAGAGCTGCTATGAACATTCACTTACAAGTTTTTGTTTGAACTCCGTTTCTAATTCTATTGGGTATACCTGGGAGTGGAATTGCTAGGTCTTATGGAAATTCTATGAGCAACTTACTATGGAACCAGCAAACTTTTCTGCTGCAGCTAAACCATCTTTACATTTCTGCAAGCAATTTGTGTTTCAGTTTCTCCACATAATCACCAGCACTTGTTATTTTCCACTTTTTACAATCTTTTTTTTCCTTTATGGCCATCATAGTGGAATGCAAAGTGGCATCTCACTGTGGTTTTGATTTGTGTTTCCCTAGCAGCTAATAATGTTGTGCATTTTTTAATGTGCTTTTTGGCCACTTACTTGTCTTCTTTGGAAAAATCTCTATTCAAGTCTTTTGCCCATTTTTTGATTGGGTTATTTGTCTTTTTGTAAGTGTTCTTTATATACTCTGAATACTACACCCTTATGAAATATATGATTTGCAAATATTTTGTCTCATTCTGTATATTGTCTTTTAGCTCTTTTGATAATGTGTTTTTGATGAACGAAAGTTTCTAATGATGAAGTCTAATTTATCTATTTTTTTGTTGTTGTTTTTGGTTTTGATATCATATTTAACAAAACAGTGAGACTTCCAAGGTCATGAAAATGTACTTCTATAATTACTTCTAAGGGTTTTATAATTTTTTGCTCTTTCATTTAGGCTTTTGATATATTTTGAATTACTTTTTTGTATATGCTGTAATGTAGGGTCCAACTTCATTCTTTAGCAGGTGTCGATCCAGTTGTGTTGAACTGGATATACGTTTTGAAAGGACTGAACTTTCTCTATTGACACCCTTGTCAAAAATCAAGTGACATAGACCCATAGATGTTAGTTAGTATCTAGTTTAATGGGTCTAAATACGAACCATATTCTGAAGACTCTCTGAATTACATTCCTGGCCAGCACCTCTATGCCAAACTTCAGATTCATATATCTACCTATACTACAGCTTCATTTGATGGTGTTATGAACCGAATTGTGCCCTACACCCATTCATATGCTGAAACCATAACCCCCAATGTGACTATATTTGGAGATAGGGCCCTTAAGGAGATAATTATGAGTAAATGTGTTTATAAGAGTGGTGGCCTAATGTCATAAGATTGGAATCCTTATTAAAAGAGGGAGAAATACTAGCTGTCTTCCCTCCCTCCCTACCCCACTCTCTCCCTTTCCACACATGCACAGAGGAGAGGCCAGATGAGGACACAGCAAGCAGGCAGATGGCTACGATCTGGAAGAGAAGCCTCATCAGAAACCAACCCTGAGGGCATCTTGATCTTGGACTTCCAACCTCTAGAACTGTGAGAAAATACATTTCTGTTGTTTGCCACCACCCAGTTTGTAGTATTTTGTTTTGATATCCCGACCTGCCTAATACAGATGGCTAATGTGAAGCTCCAATGCAACACTTTAGAAAATGAACCCTGTTGTACACCTGACCTCCTCCAGCTGCAGGCTCCTCTTGTCAGTTGATGACAACTGTGTTCTTCCATTTGCTTAGTCCAGAAGCTTGGAGTCCATGTGGTTCCAAACCAGGTCTGTTCTGCCCATGGCACAGTATGCCAATCACTGAAACGATGAGTTTTGCGGCAGAGAATGAGTTTATTTATGAGGCAGTCAAGTGAGAAAGCAGGAGAACAGGTCTCAAATCAATCTCCCTGAAAATAAAATTTTAGGGATATTTATGGGATAGAGGAGTGAGGTGGTCCCAGGTGTAGGAAAATGTGATTGGGGTAGGAAAAAAGATACTGAGATAATCAGTAATCAGTAATCTGCTCAAATATCATCAAACTTCATGGCTCTTCATAGCACACATGTTCACAAAATGGTGTCTTTAACATGATCTGAGGGTGGAGTTTTGGGCACTGTGACATCCAAAGGTCACCCATTGGACATTCATGCAGGTCCAGTTGGGGGCCAGTGGTTTCAGCTAGCTTGAACTGGACAAGAGTTGACCCTAGTTCCTGAAAAAGAACTTAAGCAGTCATTACCACAGTGATCTAGACGTGAGAGATGTTATCTATAAGGAAACTGGTGGAAGTTTTATTATATATTGCTTAGCTATGTGACCTTTAGCTATGTAAATCTTAAAATAAACTAGAAGCAAGTGACCGGCTAAAAGCAAGCGACTAAAGCCAGTGAGGCAAGTTAAGCCTGGACCTAATCAAGGGAGCCCTAGGCCTCAAACATTGACCCCTCTCATTTCCACAACCTCTGTTCCTCTCATCAAATCTGTCAGCAAATCCTATTGACTCTACTTTTAAAGATACCCAGATTACAATCATTTTTACAACAAATCACCCTGTCTCAGCTAGATTACTTGTATTAAAATCACAACCATTTTACTTGAAAACACTTCACTGACTTCCTACCTGACTCTAAATACAGCAAGTTGTTTCATAGTCCATGAGGTATCTACTGTCTGTGCCTTCCCCCTCCACACACATTACCTCTCTGGTCCCACTTCCCACCACTTCTCCCATTCCTCCCTCGACTGCAGCCTCACGGGCCTCCTTGTTCCTCAAACATGCCTCCTTGTTTCTCATTTGCCATGCTGCTTTTAGCTTTGCTGGTTCCTCTGCCTCGAATAGTTTCCATCTCTCTCTCTCTTTCTTTCTCTCTCTCTTTTTTTTTTTAATACAGTGTCTCACACTGTTGCCTGGGGCTGGAGTGCAGTGGTCTAATCTCAGCTCACTGCAACCTCTGCCTCCCGGGATTACAGACATGCGCCACCATGCCTGGGTAATTTTTTGTATTTGCAGTTGAGGTGGGGTTTCACCATGTTTGTCAGGCTAGTCTTGAACTCCTGACCTCGTCATCCACCACCTCAGCCTCCTAAAGTGCTGGGATTACAGGCTTGAGCCACCACACCCAGCCAAAAACATTCTTATAATGCAACAAATTCCAAAATTGCTTTACCAAAAAGATGAGGTTCTCACTGACTTAACTGAGACTTAAAGTAAAAATGCTGATTTGTAGTCCAGGAAGATATACAGGGATTTTGTATCCTGTAGTAAATGTTGCATCTTTCCCACTGAGAACCTTTTCAATCACATTCATCCTGAGAAATCACAGTCTTATGACTGTCACCACAAGCTCAATACGAATCACCCAAATCAGATCCTTTACTGTCCTGAATCCATTTTCTGGAACATGATGCTATGGATTAGTATTTTTTTTTTTTTTTTTTTGAGACTGAGTCTTGCTCTGTCGCCCAGGCTGGAGTACAGTAGCGTGATCTCTGCTCACTGCAAGCTCCGCCTCTCGGGTTCAAACGATTCTCCTGCCTCAGCCTCCCGAGTAGCTGGGACTACAGGCACCTGCCACCACGCCTGGCTAATTTTTTGTGTTTTTAGTAGAGACGAGGTTTCACCATGTTAGCAAGGATGGTCTCGATCTCCTGACCTCGTGATCTGCCTGCCTCGGCCTCCCAAAGTGCTGGGATTACAGGCGTGAGCCACCGCGCCCGGCCAAAAATGGTCTTTAAAACTGTATTTAATGGCATGAAAACACGTGCAAAGGATGATCCTATTTTTGGAAATTTTTAAATCAGCGGGTGCATGTTTGTTTTCACAAAGCAAAGATGATAAATGTGTGCATCAGAATTCACAAGGGGGCTGGATGTGGTGGCTGAAGCCTGTAATCCCAGCACTTTGGGAGACCAAGGCAGGAGGATCGCTTCAGCTCAGTGGTTTGAGACCAGGCTGGACAACATAACAAGGCCTTGCCTCTACTAAAATAAAATAAATAAATAAATAAAAAGATTAGCCTAGTGTGATGCACATGCCTGTACTCCCAGCTACTTGATGGATGAGGAGGGAGGATCGCTTGAGTCTGCGAGGTACAGGCTGCAGCTGAGCCCTGATCATGCCACTGTACTCCAGCCTGGGCAACAGAACAAGACCCTGTCTCAAAAACAAAAACAAACAAAAAAGCACAATAAAGTAGTTGAGGGTAGTAGGATTCTGGGTTATTTAAATATTTTATTTTTTCTTATTTGTACTTAATTTTCTACATGGCACTGAGAATCTAAATCAAGTTGAATATTGTGCATGTCTTTGTTCTCAAACAGCAGCCATGGCCATAAGAATAAGCAGAATACCTACGGCTTACTAAGACTCCCTTTCACGTAGCTCCTATCCATTCTACAGATGGAGAACGTGAGTTCCAGGAGATTTGTTTACCAGACCAATTTATCCTAGGATGGTACAGAATGGGAGTTAGTGCTGTAAAAATGGAAACCTTTTGTGTTACCATATTTCTGTCATTCAGTGCCTAAAAACTAACATGGACCTACTTGAGCATTTGAGGATTAATGCGCTTATTTGTGAGTAATCAGATAAGAGAAACAAAGGTTTATTTCAGTAGCTCTCAAATTTTAGTAGGAAACAGGAGGACTCCACCCCCGAGAGTTTCTGATTCAGCAGATTTGGATCTTGAGAATTTGCATTTCTAATAAGTTCTCAGTGATGCCCATGTTTCTGGTCAAGGACCAGCAATGGTGGAACATGCTTCTTAGTGCCTTTACTGGTCCATGGATTGGCTGGGGTGGCATCACCTGGGAACTTGTTAGAAAGGCAGAATATTGATCCCAGTTTGAAAGAGTCAGAATCTGCATTTTAACAGGATCCTCAGGTGATTTACTTACATGAGAAAGTTTTGGAAGCAGCACTTTGGTACATAGGTTCTCAAATACGAATTAGATAAATCATAAATCTGAAATGGGGTGTGTGACATTCCTGCTTGTAATATATTTTTCTTACGTTTATGATTGATAAATAAATAATACAAAACTTGTAAATAATTATAAAGCACTCCAGACTCCTGAGTTCTGCTGCTGGTTAACAGTCAGTTAAACTTCCTCAGTCCTGATTTCCTCATTGGGATAAAAAAAGAGTTGGAATAGGTGAGCATATAGTTTCTGATTTCAGCAAATAGATTTTGTGTTGGTTGGAAGCTGAAGAAAATCAGCCACCTGTGGTGTAAATCCTTCGGCGGGAGACATCATGAATAAGCGATTTCAGTCTCCTGACAGCCACGGCTCAGAGTCAGCTGTTAGCTAATCTCCTGCCGCTGATATTGTGGCCTCGAAATTATCACTAGAACCAGCTTGTGCTTTGTGGCTCTGGTGGGCAGCGTAGGGGAGGAAGTGGGGGACAAGATGCTGGCAACAGGTCTTCCAGGCCCTGCATTTTCCCCATTGTCATGTGAGTCTTTGAGTTGACAACCAGAACAACGGCTTCTTAACCTACCCCAAATAATTTTGATAACTTTCTATTCTCATCCTTTTTTTTTCCCTTTTTCTTTCCCATCTTGTCTTTGGAAGTATCAGACCTCTGAGGAAAGGCTATTGACATTTGATTTGATTATCATTGCCAGAGCCACAAAAAGAAATTTTATTTCTAATGTTGTTTTTTTTTTGTTTTCCCCAAGAAGAGGCTTTCTGTTTGTATGTTTGGAAGAGGAAAACATATTTGGAATCTTGAGATCTCAGATCTCCATAATGAACAGTTTGCCTAAGAAATCATGGATCCACATTAATCATTTCTATTCCAGCAAAAATGCAACTCTCTTATTGCCATTCTTGTGTAATCTTATTATTATGCTCATTTTGGAGGAATAGGGAAGTCCTTACCTTGTTTCGTCTTGCGATACCAGAATTTCCTTGAAAGCAAAGTGAACCTGGATAGATTCACTCTCATGTTTCAGCCTGATTTTTTCCCACTGTATGTCCACATGTGTGTGTATGAGTGTATGTGTGTGTGCACATGCAGGCGCACACACACACACACACACGCACACTCACACTTTCCTTTCCGCCTCCCCTTTCGAGCTCTTCCTGCCTTCTCTATCATGCGCAGGCCCCTGGCAGCTCGTGGTTGGCAGGAGCATGAACCCGTGGTCAGATGCAACGTCCTGCCTCATGCATTTTCCTCTTGGTGCTTTGGTCAGAACTTCCCCAAGTGGAGTGAAACTCAGGAGCTGAGAAACCGAGTCACTGTGAAAAGATGGGAAATTATCTCCTGCGAAAACTCAGGTGAGTCTTAACTCTTGGTGCTGCCTTTCTTGGGAGAAAGAGAACAGAGATAAGGAGGCTGAACATATGCATTTGTAATGGTGAGGTACATTGTGCTTCTAGAAGGTTGAGCCTGAAGACAGCATCCTCTAGGAGCACACAGTGACGCCCCGTTGACTCCTTCTCTTGCCTTACTCTGGGACCATGATAGGTTGCCAGATGTAGAAAACAGAAATACTGGATGCTAAGTCATATTCAAATTCCAGAAAAATATTTTTTTTAGTATGAATGTGCCTCATATAATATTTTGGGCATTATAACATGGGTTGTACTTTACTAAAAAGTTATTCATTGTTTATCTGAAATTCAAATTTAGCAGTGCATCTTGTAATTCATCTGGCAACCGTACACAATTGTCACGTGAATTTTTCTGCTCCTCTTTTTCTTCATGAGAGTGTAGAGCTTAACTTTCCATCCATCAGCTTTGTGGGTTGGTATGAGAATGAACAGTCAGGTCCTTGCAAATTATGGATGCAGGATATGCATTTGAATGCTTCTGACTTTAGTCACACCTTTTTTGGTAATGTTTAGCCTTATACTCTTCTAATACTTCATAATTTATAGAATGTATACAGATGATAGGCATTATTGTTCTTACATCTTGTTTAATCTTAAATGATGGGTTCTACAGCATCCCACTCCTCTGTCCACTCTCCCAGTCCCCTTCCAGACAATCTTGCATATGATGTGACTACATTAATAGACCCAAGGCAAAACTCTCATCATGTCACTCCTGTGCTCCAGTGGGCACCACGTAGAAACATGACTGGACAAAAAGGATATGACCTAACGCTAAGAGACTGAGTGGAAAATCCCAGCAAGTCTTGTTCTGTCTATTTAGATTCTTCTTGACCTCTCTGTGCAGTTTCCTTACTTATGGGTATGGGGCAGAACACCCTCTGGAATGGTGGCTTATGACCTACGGTCAAACAAAATAGGTCAGAGAAGCTGTCTTTATGAGGTAGCAGATTGTCTTCCCCACACCTGATGGTTCATGCCGTCTCCTTTCACCAGGTTAAATAGCTCAACTGTCCCTTGACTTCTTCATTTAGTCTTTCAGTAAATCCCTATTTCTTAAAGAGTTTAAGGGTGGCCGGGCACAGTGGCTCACGCCTGTAATCCCAGCACTTTGGGAGGCTGAGGCGAGTGGATCACGAAGTCAGGAGATCGAGACCATCCTGGCTAACACGGTGAAACCCCGTCTCTGCTAAAAATACGAAAAATTAGCTGGGCGTGGTGGCGGCACCTGTAGTCCCAGCTACTCGGGTGGCTGAGGCAGGAGAATGATGTGAACCTGGAAGGCAGAGCTTGCAGTGAGCTGAGATGGCGCCACTGCACTCCAACCTGGGCGACAGAGCGAGACTCTGTCTCAAAAAAAAAGAAGAAAAAAAGCTTAATGGTTCATGGATGGAGAGGGCCCATCAAAGTTGAGGATGAGCATGAGTCTGGGCAGTAGATGGAGGAAAAATGACACAATTGTGCTGAGAGGTAAATTCAATTTTTTACCCTGAAGAAAAAATGCTTCCCTTCTTTTAAAGTTAACCAATATTTATGGAAAGCCTAGGTAAGACAATGGTCTTGGTGGCAAGAAAAAATTAAACATGGAAGGAAAATGGATATGGAGGCAAATTTTAAAAATGGATAGGCCCCTTCAAAGAACATCGTACTTAATCACTCTGACTCAGCTTTAAAAAAATAGGCATTACGTGGCTCAGATAATTAAAACTGAGAGAGAATTAAAACTTGCCAAGGTTGCCTTTGCTATAAAATTATGAATGTAACATGTAATTTATGATGTCAAGTCATCCGTCATTTCCATTACACCACAATGTCTTCTTTTTAAGATAAGGCAGGTGCTAATGTGTTCTAGGTAGAAGCACAAACAGTGCACTGTAGAAATAAAAGGAAGGAAGGATGGAATTCTGATTTGGGATAGCAGGAAGGAAGGACATGTTTGAGGAATTGCCATTTGGATTGTGCTGTAAATGTTAGGCAGACTTACAAAGCAGGAAAAGATGGTCCAAGCTGAAGGGACAACCTGTGAAAATGTATGAGTTTCAAGTACACGGTATTACTGTCAATAATTGGAGCATATTGTTCAGAGATGACTCCAGTAGCAGAAGAAGTTGAGAATGAAGTTGGGGGTCTGATAACGAAGCGCCTTCAAAGGCACGTACCAAGTGGTAAAGCAGTGAACATTTATAAGCTGGAGAAAAATGCAGTGTGGCATGTATTTCAGGAAGAAATGTCTATGCTCAGTGAGTATGGAGGAATGACACAGAGAGAAATAGACAACAAGCTCTTAAAATATACCAAAGAAGATGCAGGGGCAAAAGGAAAATGTCCCCTTTGTTCTCTGAAGGTTCTCTGAAATCAGTTGAGAAAAGGCAGATTAATAGGACAAAAGTCATACAAATTTATTGATCACCATTTTATGTGACACAGGAACCTCAGAATGAAAATGCAAAGATGCAAAGGAAACTGTCCATTTCTATGCTTAGGTTCAACAAATTTTGGCTAGCCATGTAGAAATATGATTGGACAAAAAGGATATGACCTAATGCTAATAGACTGAGTGGAAAATCCCAGCAAGTCTTGTTCTGTCTGTTTAGATTCTTCTTGACCTCTCTGTGCGGGTTCCTTACTTATGCGTATGGGGCAGAACACCCTCTGGAATGGCGGCTTATGACCTTCAGTCAAACAAAGTAGGTCAGATAATGTCTTTATGGCCGGTTCTTACCAGAAAGATAGAAGGAAAGTTAGAGTCATCTGACTAATTTTATGGCTGGCTTTGGGGAAAAGAGGTTCTGGTTTCTATCAATCACCTTGGGGAAGAGGGATTCTAATTTCTATGGCTAGCCCTGGGTAGAAAAGAGTTGCCACAGAGAGGAGGGCAGGAGAAAGAGAGCTGCTTCTGAGGCTTTTATTTTGGAGTATCATTTTCTGAGCCCCAACAAAGAGATGGTAAAGAGCTGAAATTCATTAGGAACAACCAACACGAAGAGGAAATTCAGTGAAGGTAAATGCATTCCCAAGGAGTCACCTTGGTGTGTGTCAGTCATTTGGATCACAGATGTGGTGTTAGAGAAGGCTGGAGAATGGCCTCTAGAACACGGATGCAGAGAGGCTCCTGTTGCCCTGACCCTGCTTGTCAGAGGCCTGTTACCTTGGGCAATACCTAATTTGCAGCCTGATGATTGGCTGCAGATGAGTCTGGGGAAGGTAGCTGCTGCTTTCTAGCCTCTGACTAGCAAGAGGGTGAAATAAATGTTGACATCGCCCATGGGCAGTGTCCATCACATACCCTCTTTAGTCTTTATTTCAGAATTCATTTAGTTCTTTGAAGATTTTATCCTCCCATATAAATTTATACACAAATTCTGAATTTGTGTATTGTATAAAAAGTGCCAATTTGAATTTTGATTGGGATAACATTGTGAATATAGAGATCTATTTGCAAATTCTTCTATGTTTATGCTGATAAACTATATATATATATATATATATTTTTTTTTTTTAAGATGGAGTCTTGCTCTGTCACCCAGGCTGGAGGGCAGTGGCGTGATCTCAGCTCACTGCAACCTCTGCCTCCCGGGTTCAAGAGATTATTCTGCCTCAGGCTATGGAATAGCTGGGACTACAGGCACGCACCACCATGCCCGTCTAAGTTTTGTATTTTTAGTAGAGACGGAGTTTCACCATATTGGCCAGGCTGGTCTTGAACTCCTGACCGCATGATCCACCTGCCTCGGCCTCCCAAAGTGCTGGGATTACAGGCGTGAGCCACCACGCCTGGCCTATGAAGATATACTATTAATACACCAGTCAAAACAATTATTTATAACCACGTTTATTCAAATCTTCTTTAATGTATTCTAATACATTAAATAGAGCTTTCTAATACATCTAATAGAGCTTTAACTTTTTGTTTTTCTTTTATTATTTTCTTTAACTTTTTGTTTTTCTTTTATTCCTTGTTAGATAGATTTCTAGATACCATATGCAATAGTAATAAATCTATGAATGACATTTTTTCCTAGCCTGTTATTGTTGGAATGTTACTGAATTTTGCAAGATGACTTTGTATCCACTAGCCTTGTTGAATTTCTCTTTTTTTTTCACGGCTTTTTAATCCTACTGGGTTTACATAGTTAATATATCATCTATAAAGTTAAAGATTTTTCTATTCTTTTTTGTTTCTTACAAATCTTATAGGTATCTTTATCATGTTTTATAGCATAATTATGTTTAACAATGTCAGAATTCTTAGGCATCATTGTCTTGTAACTGATCATAATAATTTTTTTCTAAATTTGTTTTCATTAAAGTTGTTGTGTATTTTTGACATTTATATGTGGCATTTATGTTTTTGGCATATTGCCTCTATCAAAATAAGGAGATTCTACTTTTTAAAAAAATATGTAGAGATGAGGTTTCACTATGTTGCCCAGTCTGGAGTGCAGTGGCTATTCCCAGATGCAATCAGAGTGCACCTCAGCTTTGAACTCCTGGCCTCAAGTGATCTTCCTGCCTCAGTCTCCCAAGGAGCTGGGATTACAGGCATGCACTACTGCACCCAGCTCTTCTGAGGGTTTTTATTGTTAATAAGGACCAAACATTATCAAATGCATTTTTAAACTATTGAGATAACCTCATGAGTCTTCTCTTAGACTTCTGAAGTGGTTAATTGTGTTAATAAATATTTTTGCTAATTACCTATCTTTTAATTTCTGCGATAAAACCCATTTGATTGTGATGTATGCAATTTTACCATAGTTTTAGATTTAGTTAACTTATATTTTATTGAGGATTATTGCATCTATTTTCATGATTGAATTGGACCTGTGATTTTTTAAAATTTGATTTATTTAATTTGAAATGAAAGTTTACCAATCTCATTAAATGGGTTGGCATTGTTTTACATTTTTCTACTTTCTGGAACATCTTATATATGAGAGAGTATATTTGTCACGTGAAGTTTGGTAAATTGTGTATGCAGCTGTGTAAGCTGGAATTTTTTATTATTGATGGTATTCATGTGTCAGTTTTTTATTTCATTTTTTCCAAGATATTATTCATTTTAAGCCATCATGTTTATTATAAAGAATTCTTCATCATGTTTGTTGTATGTCTGTAATACTTATTCTGAACTTCCTGTTTTCGTTATATTTTTGTCTCCATTCCTTATTTCTTTAGTTGGTCTTTCCAGACTTTTGCTATCTTACTGATATTATTCTAAGATATAGTTCCCTATCATATTTATTTTTACCCACAACTTTCTTGTTTCCTTTTTCTTCTCCCAACTTCTTAAGATAAATGCTTACTTTGTCATTATTAGTCATTTATGTTTTCTTATGAATGTATTTTAGCAAGCTATTTTCTTCACACTTCACTTTATCCTTCAAATAGTCTTGTGTAGCTTGCATTATTATTTTATTCTGTGTTTTTAGAAAGTTCCTTTATGATTCCCTGTTTAATGTAAGGATTGTTTAGAATATTACTTATACCTAGACATGTACACTTTTGGTTATAGCTTCTTGGGTTTTAATTTTACTGCTTGATAGTTGGAGAAATCGTGTGCAAATTGCTGATTTTGGGGGATGTTTATTAAGACTTTCTTTGTGGAGTTATGAAGTCATAAGTCAACATCCAACATTTAGAAAGTTTAAAAATAAGAAGAAAAAACCCAGAAGGTATAAAAAATTACTCATAATCTTAATTATTTGGCCAAGATACTTTTGAAGCTTAGTAAAATACCTATTTTTAAAAACAATGGAGTATCAGTTGATTTATTAATTCGGTCAACAAATTTTTGTACATCACCTGTGGCCTGATATTATCTGAATTCCTCTGGATTAAGAAAAACACTTTTTACTTTATTCACAGTAGAATTTAGTATCCAGTTATGTTCAATAATATTAATGATGTAGAATTCCAATTAGGTCCGTACTGATGCTAAGTACTTTCTTGTCTGTCTTGTTTTCAACTTTAAAACACAAACATCCTTTAGATGTATAAGTCAATGAATCCTTAATAACCCCAAGGACAATTATTTTACCAAATTCTTTCTTTATTGACCAGTTTAGGAAGATGGAATCATGAGAAAACTGAACTCCAGGAAAAGGGGGAAAAAAGGAGACACTTAAATTACTTTTTACCTGATTTACAATCTGTGCTTTTAAATAAACATTACATCCAGATTTGACTGTCATTGAGACTATTATACAAAATCTCTACATCAGCAACTGATTCTATAAAAAGCCCCCTCCTCTGTAAATTGATATTCCTTTATGTTTAACAAATATATTCTTTGCTTAGTGGCCTTGTGTGTTGATATCTAGCAATGTTTCTTGAACGTATACATATGAGCTCTATTCAGGGAAGGCACTTTCTCAGCGTTGGTTCGAAATGCCTTCCCTGAATCCTGCTGGTAAGCAGAGGTGAGGCTCTTACATGCAAAGCTACCTAGAAGCAAAAGGATAGACCAGCGCTCCAGAGGTGATAACAGAGGAAAAGAAAACCGTGAAAGAAATGCTGTGTTTGGACAACTGGTGGAGTAGAAAGTTTGATTAACCAAGTCACAAACACAAGCAGCTAACTATTGTGTTAACCATACAAATCACCTGATGTCTCTAACTTCATCATTTAGTGTTTGCCTGATTATCATAAAGATGATGATAACTGATGGCAAAACACCAAGAGTAATGTGAAAAAATCAGCTTTCCTGAATGTATGTAAAGATCCCAATGTCTTATCTGCACATGAATGGCCACATGCAGCAGGGCCCTGAGAAGCTTGCTGTGGTTCAGCGGGCCAAGACTGACAGTCCTCATAGTCCACAAAGGTGGGTACAAGCAGCTCAGCTTGCCTCAGGTTGTTGCAGAAGTGGCGCCTCCCTGTTGTTAAGGTCTTTCTAGCTTCTTGAAAGCTCTCACCTCTTCTGGAGATTCAGGAAGTTTGCATGTTGGGTCACAATAAATCCAAAGACTGAGAGAATCAAAAGTCAGACTATGGGCATTTTGTCCCATCAGAGGCCTGGTTTCTGTGGTTAAGTTCTGAAATGCATTCTATCTGGGACTGCTTATTGATTTTGAAGGAAAGGGAAGTTTGTCAAAAAGAAAAGGCAGGTTTGGTTTTAATGGTACAGAAAGTTAGAGAAGAAGGTGAAAAATGTGGAGGGCAGTAACAATCTCTCTTTTTTCTTATGTGTTTCCATATAGTTGCCTGGGAGAGAATCAAAAGAAGTCCAGGAACGGAAACCCAGATGAGGAAAGAAAACGGTAAGAACAGAGCATATCAGAGTCTTTTTTTTTTGTTTTCTCTGAGATTACTTCCAGAGTCTGTGCCCCACTCGAACTAACACCTCTCAGGGTCACTGTAACAGAGTTCTTTGGTGATTACCCGCATGACCTGGCAGCAGGTTAGACACTGACTCTGTCTAAATAAGAAAGACAGGGTGTTAGCCACGTGTTTTGTTTCTATTGATTATATAATGCGAGCGTAGAAACATAAAGATAGAATAAAGGATGTCTGGTTTTGGTTGGTTATATGCAGTGGCCGTATTTCCCACCTTTTCCTCACAAGTAGCCAGAATAATGTTTGGAAAACATGTCTCATTATGCCTTTTCCTTGCCTGAGACCATTCAATGGTTCTTCACTGCATTCAGAATAAAATGCAAACTCTTCACCAGGGCCTACAATTCTATCAGGATTGGATTCTGCATCTCTCCCATGTGGTTCCTCACCCTCTACCTTCACTCACTATCTTATATGCTTTCTCCTTTTGTTTGATGTTCTTCAAGCCACCAAACTCAGCCTCACTTTAGGGCGTTTCTACAAGCTGGTCTTTTACTTCACAATTAAAATAAATTTCCATATTTGCACTTGGACTGATTGGTAATGTCTCCTCTTGGAGATGCTGGCCCTCATGCCCTTCTCTGAAAGATTATGGAGGAACTTTGCTTCGGCACCCCATGGTTTTATGGCACTAGAAACTACCTGTATTTGTTGTGGCCTTTATCTCAACTTGTAGCTCTATATGTTGTTTGAGCTGTTTATAGTCCACTTCCTTCATAGACCATACGCACTTTAAAGTCACATCTGTTTCACTTGCTAGTGTATATCTGTTGCTCAACCCTCACAAGACACTCAATGGAAAAAAGATAAAAAATGGAGCGGAAAAATGGTAGATATCTAGATGTTGATATCTTGCCTTAGCTTAGATGAACAGAAACACCCTGCCTTGTTGGTTAACCATAGGCTTTTCATAGTTTTGCACTAAGCTCTTTTTTAATCATTTCATCTCAATGTCTTGGTTTCTGTCTCTGAGATGGCTTCTTCTTCTCCTCCATGGTATGAAGGGGCAGAGGATTGAGGAGATGAGCCAGGTATCTGTTGGTGATGTGAAATGATGTTTGCAGGCATCAGCCCCCTCCTAAATGTTTGAATAACACTTTCCTGCCAAAGGAGAGAGTTGGCTTCATGAGTCAGCACTCAGGGACAGTGGAGTTGGCTATACCTATCTTGTGACCCTGTCTCATGCTTTCTCCACTCCCCCTACTCCCCTTATGGTTTGCAGCTAGAGAGGAGATAGCAATGATTTAGTGATGTTATTGAACCAAGGTTCTTTTATCAGCTGCTGTGAATCAGTTCTGTATAGCGTCTTTTAAAGTAGACTTTTAGGCATAAACTAGTCATTTAAACTAGGCTTTTGTTTCATCATGTCTAAGGTGAGATCTGCACTAGATGTCATTCTCTAATATTTTTCTGTTAAAGGAACTGAAGTGTTAACATTTTCAAATACCAGCAAGTCTTTATTACAAGCAGCCAATAATTAAATGTAGATAAATTAAATGTCGTTAGGGTTTTCTCATGCAAGAAAATTTTAGGAGCACGACTCATGGAATTTTCACTAGTCAGCATGGTGAGGAAAATCTGAACCATTTTACCATTCTAGTCAATTGCAGTCAAATATGTGTTTCACGCGGGCTGAGAAGTGAGTTTCCTTTTTGGCTAATTTCACAGGATGATGTCTATTGAATAAAGTTGGATCTTCTATATCTTTCTGAGTCAATTTTGATTATTGGATTCTTACCAGAATATTATTCATTAAAACATATTTACAGAAAGGACAGTATGAGCTCTTTCAAGTCACTTAACTTTTGAAGTGTAGGTTTATAGAGGTATAGTACAGTAAAATTCACCCTTATATATACAATTTGATAAGTTTAGGAAAAACATACACAGTCATGTAATCACCACAGTCAAGATACAGAATATTTCTACCACCCCTCCCTTTCCCTTCAACCCCTGGCAACCACTGATCTGATTTCTGTTTTGCATTTTTTTCCAGGATGTCATAGTATCATTGCTTTTATCTTTATTGCATTCTTATTTTTGCTTTCCTTAGTTTTTTAAATTATTGCTATTCTAATTGTTTTGAATTCAAAACTTAAAAATTTTGTTCTCAATTTTTTTTGTTTAGGAATGGAAGCATATATGAATATAAACTTTCCCTCTAAATAATATTTTACCTGTATCCTATGTGTAATTAAAGGAAATGCTATTATTATCTAATATTTTGTAACTTTTAATTTATTCTTGGACCTGAGTAGTTTTTAAATTTCAAATATTGTTTTATAGTCTTAAATATAATTTAAATTTTATTTCATTGTTACCAGTATCTGTGTGGCCTGTGTTATTTCTGCTTTATGGATTTTATTAAGGTTTTCTTTGTCCTATATGTTAACTTTGAGACAAATTACTTACATTCTGTAAATTTTGGGTTCTTCATATGCAAAATAGCATTAAAATACTACAATTTTAGCTTGTGTTTATGGAAAAAGAGAGCACGGCGTATTTCATCAGCACGATGGCTGTCTGGCACCAACACTCAATACATACTAGCTGGTATCTGTGCACATCATTATGTACCTAGATTTTGAAAATCTATTATGTAATCTTTTGTTCAAAGATCATAATTTTGAAATTTGTCTGCTAGAGAAACATTATTGTGTATTTCAGATATTCACTGTCATTATTTTTCCTACTTGTTATCAGCTGAGAGAAATTAATCTACTGGTTTATTTAAGTTACCTTTCATGTTTTGTTTTTCTTTCTTTCATATGGATTCTAAATAGTTTTGTGTGTAGCAATTCATGACGGTATCAGGTGTTTGTTGGTTTTAATCTCTATCATGCCATCTCCTGTCCAGCTCGTTTTCTGAAATGACAGTCTTGCTAAAGTCTTCATCTTCCGGAGTGTGAGAAGGTCCCTGTGACGGGAGATCAAAGACACCAGGGGACATTGCAGGCAGCTTCCTCTCGGATAGGGAGGATAGAGGGACGTCCTGTTTCATTAGTATGGCCTAGTCCAGTTCCCACATATCAGTCTGTATTCATTTACTAAGGCTCTCAAGCAAAGTACCATAGACTGGATGGCTTAAAGAACCAAAATTTTCTTTCTCACAATTACAGAGACTGGAAGTCTGAGATCAACGTGTTGGCAGAGGTGGGCTGTTTTGTGAAGTCTGTCTTTGGCTTGTCAATGACTGTCTTTTCCCCGAGTCTTCGAATGGTCTTCCCTCTGTGTTATGACTGTGTTTAAATTTTCTGTTCTGACAAAGACACCAGTCATACTGAAACAGGGCCCAATCTTATGACCTCATTTTAATGTAATTACCTCTGTTAAGATCCTATCTCCAAATACAGTCACATTCTGAGGTTCTGGGGATTAGGACTTCAACATGTGGATTTTAAGGGGACACAATTTAGTTCATGAGAGATGTCAAGAAAATCTAAGAGGATTCCTAGAAATCCAGGAATTCCTGCCACTGTCTGGAAGTTTCCAGTGGCCACAGCATGCAGAATTGTTCCACTGTATTTAAGACAGAGTGGACAACCAGTAGGTGCTGATAATCCACAGCCTGGACTTAGACAGGTTTGGATTTTGTGGCTAGAGCCTCAGAATGACACATAACCGAGTGGCCGAATTCTTCATTCACCAACTGCTTTGTTACATAACTTCGCATTTTACAAAGTCCGAATGTGGTTGTGCAGTAATGTTTGCTTTATTTCTTTCCTAAAGTCCTCATAGGTTTTAGATTATCTCAGTACTAAGACATTTGACAATACGTTTTCTTTCCTTGGAGAGTAATACAGTTCTTGGATCGTATCTTTCTCCTCACAACTTAGTGAGTGTAATTCCGCTCTGTGGCTGTGGAGCTGGGCCACCTTAAGCGGCTTTCCTGATGACTTGGTTTTACATACGTTTTCCCCATGAAAATTCAAAAACTCATTATTTGTTCCCTACTCCCACCCCCTAATAATGTATTATTTTCTTTTATACATATGTCTTTATTTTAAATTTTTTTCTCATCTTTCTTGAGCTGATTGAAAAACAAAAATTGTACATATTGAAGGTATACAATATGATGTTTTGATGTGTATATATGGTGAAGTGATTACCACTATAAAGTACATTAACTACTTAATATATTTATTATCTCACACAGTTACCATTGTTTTTGTGTGTGATGAGAATGCTTGAGATCCACTTTCTTAGCGAATTTCAAGCACATGTTGTCACTGGCTGTAGTCACCATATCTCAGTGTTCCGTGCCATTTGTTTTTTCCCCCTGTGAAGTCAGTTTTCAGATTTAAGTATTTATTTTATGACTTTTCTCTTGTTATACTTTTGTTTCATTTGTTTAGATCTTTTTTTTTTTTTTTTGAGACTGAGTCTCGCTGTTGTCGCTGGCGCTGGAGTGCAATGGCGCAATCTCGGCTCACTGCAACCTCTGCCTCCTGGGTTCTAGCACTTCTGCCGCCTCAGCCTCCCAAGTACCTGAGACTACAGGTGCACACCATCATGCCTGGATAATATACAGCTTTTTTGTACAGACAGGGTTTTTGCCATGTTGCCCAGTCTGGTCTCAAACTTCTGGGCTCAAGTGATCCACCTGCCTTGGCCTCCCAAAGTGCTGGGAATACAGGCATGAGCCACCATACCTGGCCTATTTTTAAAAGTGATATAGCTAGCATACTTGCACATATTTGGGTGGTACATGTGATATTTTGATAAATGTATACAATGTGTAATGATTAAATCAGAGTACTTGTGATATCCATCTACTCAAACACCAATCTTTTCTTTGTCTTGGGAGCATTACAATAATTCTAGCCATTTTGAAATGTACAATAAATTATTGTTAACTATAATTTTCCTCACCATGCTATCAGATACTAGGACTTATTTGTTCTAGCTAACTATATTTTTGTACCCATTAGCTAACTTCTCTTGATTCTTTCCTCTCCCATTAATGTTGTTTTAATTTAACATAAAAATGTTATTCTCTACAATTGTTTTCCTGGTTTAGGCCAGTCCATTTTCCTTCTCTATTTATTATTGTTAATTATTATTCACAATAATTATTAGTAATTATTCCAATAATTGTTCCTTCTCCATTTATTATTGTTAATAACTATTAACAGTAATAAACAGATATTATTTTTCTGCTTCTAAATATTGTTTCTGCTTTTTTTGTTTTGCTTTTGTTATGCAGTTCATCTTTGTAACTTTGTGCTTAGTATTCTGAATGAAAGTAGATCATTTGTGAGATAAAATTGTGTGTATGCGTGTGTGTTTAAGGAGGGTGCAGAAGAGAACCAAGCTATGGCTGTGACTGAACCAAACTGAGGGCAGCTCACCCGGTGCTGTAAAGCAAAAAACATCCACACTGAGGGTTGCAGCAGGACCAAGGATGCATCTATTTGCAGGTCACCAAGCAAGGAGAATTGGTCCCTCAGGCTTAAGACCTGTCCTCTTCAATGGCTGACAATCAAGGGTTTTAAAAGGCGGGGGTAAATTTCCGGAAAGCGGAATTTACAGGCAAAATTGTAAATCAGTACATGGAGATTATAGTTGGTTTGGCCTAAAAAGTTGAGATACCTTGAAGCTGAGGGGGAAGGGTGCCTTATGGGTCATAGGAGGAATGAAAAATTCTTTGATTTGCTATTGTTTAAGAAAGCAAACTTTATCTAAAAATGTGGAGTCAAGAGAAAGGAATGCTAAGGTCTGGCTTCTGGTCATGACTTTCTCAGGCTCCTCAGGAAGAAATGTAGACAAAGCCTGGCAGTGGGAGTTCAGTCCTCAGCGCCCCCGCGCCTGAGGTCTGTGTGCCAGAGGATGCGTGTGGTGGAGGTCCAGGTTTCCTCCTGCTGATCAGGCTGCTCATTTACTTCTCAGGGCTGGCCGGGCGCTGGAATTTCCCTTGAAGAAACTCATGACTTTCCTTTATTTCCTTGCTTGTGGGTGCCCAACAGACTTCCAAGAGGGGTCTCTGCTCTGTTGCAAAATCCAGGCGGTGATTGTGGCATGTCGTTTTAGAATACTTCCTCACAAAATATTCTTCCCTCAGCCCAGGCACATCTCTATACTGTGTAACTGGCTGTCCTTGAGGCGGGCAGCTCATTACGAGTTACGTCCTTTTTTCATATTTCCCCTTAAATTTAGGAGTCTGACCGACAGATAAATAACAGGTGATATGCTGGCAACCCCATCTCCTCACTACCACCTTTGAATCCTCTTTAGTGTGTAAATTGTGTCCCTTTAAAAATAATCTCTATTTCTTTCATCACTGGCCCACATTTATTATTTTTATTTTATTCTATTTTATTTGGAGATGGAGTCTTGCTCTGTCACCAGGCTGGAGTACAGTGGCACGATCTTGGCTCACTGCAACCTCCATCTCCCTGGTTCAAGCAATTCCCCTGCCTCAGCCTCCCGAGTAGTTGGGACTACAGCCACATGCCACTGTGCCCAGCTAATTTTTTTTTTTTCATATTTTAGTAGAGATGGGTCTCACCGTGTTGGCCAGGATGGTCTCGATCTCCTGACCTCATGATCTGCCTTCCTTGGCCTCTCAAAGTGCTGGGATATAGGCATGAGCCATTGCACCTGGCCACCACACTTATTAATGTCTATTACCGTAAAGTTTTAGTTAGAATTTGTAAGACCCTCTCATTTACCTTTAAGGATTTATACACCCTCATCAAGAATAGCAGAAAAGTAAATTTCAAAACTTTCAATTTTCTCTCTTGAATTGTCCTAAATTTAATTATATTATACGTATGTTTTCCATGCATGCGATAATATATCTGATAAGCTAATAATTCCCTTAGCTTCTTGCTGTATGGAGCTTTGTTTTCCACTTTTCATTGTTTATCTAGATTTTTGTGGTTTTTCAAAAAAGGCTGGAGTAAGCAGCCTTTTAATTGTATTTAATATTTTCATGGAAAGTCTAACAATGGCCTTAGGTTAAGGGCAACCAAATGCTTTGAAAGGCATTTTCAGCTTGGGAGAACCTGGAGTATCTCATGTTAACGATCTCTTTCCTTGTAGGCAGGAAATGACTACATTTGAAAGAAAACTTCAAGATCAAGATAAGAAAAGTAAGTCATGGCTGTATAATATTTTTCATAGTAGGGAAGTGCAAATTTAAGCATCCAATTAGCAGACACTCTTGAGCCTATTGTGATAACAGATTGCAGAAGAGGCTGCTTGGAGTTCTTACTCTTTCATAAAATTGATCACATCATTCTTGATATTAAAGTGATATTTGTATATTATTTTTTGAGAGACATTTAAGAAACGCCTGTGGAAAGAAGTTAACCAAAATTCTACTGATTTTAATTTATATATTGGTGTTCTAAAATAGGACCTCTGAATATTAGCAGGTGATAAAAAGTGTGTTTTTTTTTTTTTTTTTGAGATGGAGTCACACCCTGTCACCCAGGCTGGAGTGCAGTGTCGTGATCTCGGCTCACTGTAAGCCCCCGCCTTCCGGGTTCAAGCGATTCTCCGGCCTCAGGCTCCCGAGTAGCTGCGATTACAGGCAGACACCACCACGCCCAGCTAATCTTTGTATTTTTAGTAGAGATGGGGTTTCAGCATGTTGGCTAGGCTGGTCTCAAACTCCTGACTTCATGATCCACCTACTTTGGCCTCCCAAAGTACTGGGATTACAGGCGTGAGCCACCACTCCTGGCCCCTAAAAAGTGTATTATTTTGTTCTCAAGAAGTTGAAAGAAGTTGGTGGTGCACTCCTGTAGTCCCAGCTACTTGGAAGGCTAAAGTAGAAGGATTCCTTGAGGCCAGAAATTAGAGTTCAGCCTGAGCAATGTAGCAAGAGCCTGTCTTTAAAAAAAAAAAAAAAAAAAAGAATTTGCTCTGTTTGCCATAGTATCTAGGTATAGTAATAATGTAATTACTCAAAATCCACAGTTATGAATAACAGGGCTCAGCCCCTGTGGACAAGTATATCTAAAGGAAACTCTGTTTATTTTTACCCCCAACTTTATTGAGGTATAACTGACAAATAAAAATTGCCTATATTCAAGGTGTGCAATGCGATGATTTGATATATGTATACACTGTGTAATGATTACTACACCAAATTAATATATCCATCACTATACATAGCTACCATCCTGTATGAATGTGGGGACATAAGGGCACTTGAGATCTATTCCCTTACCAAATTTCAAATAAAGAATACTATGTTGCTAACAAACAAACAATGGGGAAAGGATTTCCTGTTCAATCCGTGGTGCTGGGTTAACTGGCTAGCCATATGAAGAGGATAGAAACTGGACCCCTTCCTTACGCCATATACAAAAATTAACTCAAGATGGATTAAAGACCCAAATGTAAAACCCAAAACTATAAAAACCCTGTAAAACAACCTAGGCAATACCATTCAGAGCATAGGAATGAGCAAATATTTCATGATGAAAACATCAAAAACAATTGTAAGAAAAGCAGAAATGGACAAATGGGATCTAATTAAACTAAAATTTTTCTGCACAGCAAAAATAACTAACAAGAGTGAACAGACAACTGGTCACAGTGACTCATGCCTGTAATCCCAGCACTTTGGGAGGCCGAGGTGGGCAGATCATGAGGTCAGGAGATTGAGACCATCCTGGCTAACATGGTGATACCCCCTCTCTACTGAAAATGCAAAAATTAGCTGAGCGTGGTGGCTTGTGCCTGTAGTCCCAGCTACTTGGGAGGCTGAGGCAGGAGAATCGCTTGAACCCAGGAGGTGGAGGTTGTGGTGAGCCGAGATAGCATCATAAACAAATTCACAAGAAAAAAACAAACCATCAAAGTAGGTGAAGGATATGGAAAGACACTAAATCTCAAAAGCAAGACATTTATGCAGCAAAGAAACATATGAAAAAAAGCTAATTATCAACTGCGGTCATTAGAAGAATGCAAATCAAACCACAATGAGATACCATCCATCGCCCAGTATGAATGGTGATCATTTAAAAATCAGGGAAACAACCAGATGCTGGAGAAGATGTGGAGAAATAGGAATGTTTTAACACTGTTGGTGGGAGTGTGAAATTCGTGGAAGACGTGTGGCAATTCTCTTAGGATCTAGAACTAGAAATACCACTTGACCTCAGCGAGTCCCATTACTGGGTATAATACCCAAAGGATATAAATTGTTCTACTATTAAAGACATAATGCACAATGTTTTTTTATTGGCAGCCCTATTCACAATAGCAAAGACTCGTGGAACCAACACAAATGCCCACTCAAGGTTAGGACTGGATAAGAAGAAGTACCATAAACACACCCATGGAATCTATGCAGCCATAAAAAGAATAAGTTTATGGTCTTGGAGGGACATGATGAACTGGAAACCCACGATTCTCCGCAAACTAACCAGGAACAGGACAAACCAAACACTCATGTTCCCACTCATACGTGGAAGTTGAACAATGAGAACATATGGGCACAGGGGAGTGGACATCACAGCATCGGGGCCTGTGATATAAGGTTGAAAGGGAATGTGGCAAAGCTAAAAATAATTAATCTTTTTGGTGTCAGTTTATAATATAATTTAGCTTAATGTCATCGTTTTTGTCATAATAGGTTGTGAAGAATTAAAATAATACGGCTGGACACAGTGACTATGCCCTGTTTACCCCTGCATGTTGTGGGCAGAGGCTAGTGGATTCACTGTGAGGCCAGAGTTCGAGATTACCTGGGCCAACACACGCGAAAACCCTGTCCTCTACTAAAAATAAAAAATTAGCCAGGTGTGGTGGTGACACCTGTAAAGCAGCTACCTGGGAGGCTGAGGCACCAGAATCACATTCGAACCCAGTCGAGGCGGAGGTTGAAGTCGGGCAAAGATTGTTGCCATTGCACACCAGCCTGGATGCAAAGTGTGAACTCTGTCTCAATAATAAATAAAATAAATAATAAGATAAATTAGGACTTCACAAGAATTGACGGCCAAAACAATAAAGAACTTCTGCTACTCATCTAAGATCAAGTTAAAAAATACGTTGATTTTTTATTTCCTTTCATTTCTGCGATTACATGGCCATATAAATTATTGTAAAATAATGAACGTTTCTAAAAGTACATTTAGATACAAATGAACGGAAGGACGATGCTACTCTTGAATAAATCCACTCCTGTATTTTTGACATTTATCAGCACAAAATAATAAAAGCTTTGGTGTTGTCTTTTGTCTTGCTTTTTGTTTTCTACCTTACCTGACTTAGAAATGGATGAACTATCTTTGCCTGGAAATATTAACAAAGAAGAAAGAAAGAAAGGAATGACATTGTCGAGAGTTTTCAGCATCACAGATTGATAGGAAAAGGTAAAAAAACAGAGTGTAGAAATAATAAAACTGCAGAGGCCTATGTATCGAACATCTTGACGATTATTCCCCGTATTGATAATTGAATGTTCTCAAGGCTGAGTGACAAAATCAAAAAGAACATGTGTTCTGAGACCCATCAATAGTATGTTCTTTCTGTAATAAAAGCACATTAATGTACTGAATAAAAGGATTTCAAAATTTGGTATAAAAATTTCATAAATCTGCTGTCAATGCAATATAATAGCATAGAAAGAATGATTATAGCTGCAAATTTAGATATAATTTATGTAAATATTACAGAAAATTATACAATTCTTTAAAATGAACACTCCACTATAGAAGGTAGGTACAGGAAAACACAAGTACGATTTCAGTTACATACAAATATGCAGATTCATGTTGATTCCATCTGTGAATGGTGAAGCAATTTACATATGTGTGAATCTGAAATCCACTACTAATTTTTTTTTTTTTTTTTTTTTGAGACAGAGTCTAACTCTGTCGCCCAGACTGGAGTGC